GCCATCAAATTGGATCGTATTCAATTATTTAGAGAAACCTCAGTTATTTTGATTTGCCCGTAATAGTGTTTAATGGAAACACTTCCATTTTCAGAAGAGTATTGAGGTTCTTGAAACTTAGTGCTCGAGATTTTACAGAGGAATGGTCACCAAATTCCAGCCCTGATGTGTCCTAGCCAGAGTTATCTTTAGAACTGAGGACTGTCCATTCGGATACCTCCCCTGGGGTTTATTGCAAAAGTAATACTAATAAAAGTAATAAAAAGTGTTTTTAAAAGTCTATCTTTTGCAGCTTGAAAGGAAAATGAAATTAAATACGAAAACATATTTATGCCCACACGATTGGCCTAACATCAGGCATCGTGACTTCTCAGCTGAGCAGCCAGAATGAGCTACAGCAGAAAGAGTGCCTCTAACTGCCTTGCTGAATCTCTCTGTCAGCACTGCTGGTGTTGTTCCAGTATAACCGTGATGGGGCTGCTGTAAATAAGAGCGTTAAAATGTACCAGACTTGCAGAGAAGCTGCAAGCTTCAGTTGCCAAAACCTTGTGGTGAAATGAAAAATGGATATATGCTGAAAGAGAGTGTTGGAGGAGTACATCAGGAATGGAAGCGACACATCAGCACAGATAACTCTGATGCATGGCCACATCAAGGAATGCCTGGTAATAAAGCAGGGATTGTACATAACTACTGAGGCATTATCTTGAGGTTGTAATTATAAAGAAAATATTTAACTGAACTTTGCTTACTGTAATCTTACCTTTTTTCTGTTCTATGAAGCAATTTGTTTCTTTTTAACAGGACATTAAAAGGGGATTGAGACTTAAGCACATACGATACTGTTTTCCCCCCTTCTTTAAAATGCACAAAGCAGTACCCGTGGGACAAAGGAGCATATTTGGGTATCTCCTCTGCAGTCACTTGCTTCTTGGTTAGAACGCGGTACCTCTGGGTGTCTCACCTGCTCTGCACGCACTTCTCAGTGACATGGCATGCTGTAACTTGGGGGTGAGATTGGTTTTGAGCTGGGCAGATCTGTGATGAGTTAGGTACAGCAAGAGCGGCTGGAGATCATGAGCGTCTTACTGCTTGTCATCCTCCTCTTTTCGCTTGTTCTTATTTTCTTGAGCTTCATGAATTCTATTCCCTGTACCCAGTTTCCATGAAAACAAGGCATTTAGCTGTGGTGTTTCTTCCTGTCTAAGGAAAATCTCATCTGCTAAATAAATCCCATAAATGATCCTTCCACAGGCCTTTTCTCTGCTTACCACCCTTCCAAACCCACCCCTAGAGCTCTCTTATTACTCGGTCCATTAACTCTTGCCGAGATTTTGATAGAGGCAAAAAAGGAGAAAAGCAAAGTTGTCGGTCTGACCCTGCAAGAAATATCCCTGCTGAAGTCATAAAAATGTGACGTTCATTAAAACTGTTGGGGACAGAGATTATTTTTGTTGTAAATCAATAACATATCTGCACTTAATTAAATTCAGCAGTGGATACTGCGGGGGATGTTCCTCAAAATTGGCTGAAGTTAATGAATTTTGAGATGGCTGCTGTCAGCTGAATGATAGAAAAGAATTACCTGAGCCGTGTTGATTTTCTTCCAAGCACAGTGCTGCTCCTCCAGTGGGCACATAATGGGTAGCTGTGTTCTTCTGTAGTCAGTTTTTGCTTGTACATATCATTGTAGCTACAGCGAACAGTAGGCAGGCTGGAGATTGCATTATGCTGTGCTTCGAAAGCCTACAACAGTTATTTACCCGTGTGTGTGCAGACAAATAAATAAAAGCATGTGTAGTGTGTGTGTAGAAGCTACCTGTTTGTATGCAAAACTGCCTGTTGGTGTCTTTGTGATTTTACCAGGTCCCCCAGGAACAGCTAAGCCTTCATCTCTTGTTATGTCTTTCAAGACTGGTAGATTCCAGAAAGGGAAAAATGGCTCATTTTCTTTAAATAAGGAAAGGTTCTTCCAACTATACCCCCTGAAATGTTCTCTGTGTTATATTTGCAGGCAGCAATCTCTCTGCTCTGCACTTTGCAACTGCAGGACGATTACCTTTTTCTGATTTCTTAATAAATAAGGAAAGGTAGCAAACTTGCAGAAACCTGATTTACCTAGGGGGTGTATTACATGCAAGGTAAATGAGTTCTGTTTGTTTTCATCTATTCCCACAAGCCTACAAAATGAATGTCAAGAGCATGCCGTGGAGAATTGATGTAAATCCAAGAGGTGGTCAAGAAACAAGCTAATTCTCTTACAGGCTAACAGAATGCAAGAGGCATAAGCAGCCTAAGTGCAGAGCAGCCAACTTGTGGAGGCCTTTCTGCACAGAGAAGGAGAGGCATGGAGGTTTCCAGGAAGAAGAGTTTGTACTTGCTGATGTATTTCCGTGTAGAAAGTGTGCTTTTACTGATTCAATCCACTGTTTAGAAAATAGAGATCTAGTTTTTGTGGTAGGTTTAAAAAAAGGGGGGAAAAAAAGAGACAAGGTAAGTGGAGCATGTGCACGCATGCTGCTGTTGTGGGCGATGCTGACGAGGTGCAGGGCAGTGAGATAAGAGCATCTGCCGCTGGGCACGCAGAAGACAAAAAGGCCTTGAATCTTCCAGGCAGCTGCCCCCCGACGTGCTGTGCAGCTCTTGTGCAGCTGTGTTAGGGGCGCCTTTCTGCTGCCCTGCACTGAAGAGGTGACACCCGTCACCTGCTCCTCTGCCCAGGCGTTGGAATAGGAACGCATCTAGCATCTCCTGCCTCTTCTCTCTCCTCCTTACATCTCTGTCCTTAGCTGGATAAAAGCCACTGTTTGAAACCCAACGTGCATTAAGTCTGATGTGAAATCAAATTCAATTAGCTATTCTGCAATAATTCCTTTGCATAGAGGAGCTCTGTGAGAAAAGTTGAAGATAGTAGTGTTAGCCTCAGTCCAGTGGTGAAGTAGAGGTGAATGAAGCGACTGGAAGGTCACACAAGTTACAGCTGGGACTAAAACCTAAACCCAGATCTTAGGGTACCTTACACATAAAGCTGGACGTGCTGCATTAATCTCTCATCCCGTGGAACACATATTTTGAGGATTTCCAGGAGTGAATCCCAGTGTCTTTCCCCTTGCAAATAGCCACTACGCGTGTGTTGCAGTCCCTCAGGTACTGATGTTACGGCCAAGTCCTTGTGATGAGAAATGTCATGATGGAATAATTAAATACTGGAGCTTTAGGGGCAGTCGCTGTGGAAATGCCCTCCATGGCAGCTGCAACGTTTGTGAATAATTAAAGCTGTGCCTGCTATGCTTTTCACTAAATTTGCTTCATCAATATTTTATTGTTTTAAAGGAAGAAAAAAAAACACAGCGAAGGTGGGAAGGGAGCCTGTTTCCTAAGCAACAGCAATGCGCCGCTTTGCAGTTATTTTTAAAGGCAGGTTGCTTCATTTCAGATTTGGTACCAATTATTAGTGCGTTGCTTCAGGCATCCGGAAAGCTGCTTTTCTTCTTATATTTCCTTCATTTCTAATTGAAAGGCAGAGCAAAACAGCAGCCGAGTTAAGAGTCTTTGTGATGGTTGCTAGACAGGATCTGGGGCTGTGCTGTGAAGAACATCCCCGTGCTGTCATCGCTTTGTTCTTCCCGTGCCGCTCTGCCTGGCCTCGCACAACCTGGGGGCAGCCAAACGCGCCCGCCCCCGCTGCTGCTTCTGGATGCGGTGCACAGATGCTCCCCCTGCATCCCAGCAGGAGCAGCCGTGCTCGCAGGGATGGCGTCAGCGCTGGGCTCCCGCTTGTAAGGCTGCAGGCAGCCAGGCAGCGCCTCTGCCACCTACGGATGGCCTGTGATGGCAGCAGATGTTTCCTGGCATAAGCTGGTGCTGCGAGGGGCCAGGCAGGGATGTGCCCGTGTCTCCTGGCCTTTCTTTCACAGAATAGTGCTGCTCTTCAGCTTTTGCACGTGGCAGGGGTGCAAAAGCAAAGGGGTGGTTGTCTTCTGAGGCAGCGCTTTGGCTTGGGCGGTACAGCCGTGTGGGAGCAGGGTCAGGCGTGCTGCTCAGGACCCTCGTGAAATGCAATCCGAGTGCGTTTCCTACGAGATGCAGAGCGGGGCTCTGCAGGAGCTGCGACCATTTGCGCTGTTGCTTTGTTGCCACACCAATTCCCAGTGGGTTTTTGGTTGTTGCTTCTCCTGGGCTACAATCTAAAATCCACAAACCATCAGTGTTTAATTCTACTGGCTCTTCCACAGGCAAATCAGGGATTCCCATGGAAAGTTTACCTTCTGTCAGATTTATCCAGTGCTGCTTAGCTTAAAGACATATCTGCCCTTCAAAGTTGAAAGCAAAATAGTGTCATTGTTATCCCACAACGCATTTCCCAGGTGCTTTTCTAATGCTGTTTTCAGCACTTTAAGAGCAAATGGTAGTGTTTTCAGAACACACATTAGGTTAATTTGTGTGGTAGGGATGTGTTAGCAGGAAGCCAAGTAGAGATTATTTTTTTTCCAGAGTTATAAGACACAAAATGTGAAGTTATTAATACCTCATAAATGCTTCTCTTATTTGTGTATTCATTCAGCAGGTAGTTGCTCAGTCTTGCAAAGTGAAGCAGTAGGGTAGCAGTGCTGAAAATCAAGGGGACATCTCTACTAATGCTGCTCATTACAGACACATCCTGTAGTCCTTCAGCTGCTGGAGCTTCTAGGCTAGCTACATGCAGGTGGTGTTTCCACATGCCATTTAGTCTTGCCTGGGACTTGGGTTAGTTTTCAGGGTTCATTTTCAGTAGAATCGGGAATTCTTCCACTGCCTGTAACTTACAAGGTGCTTATTGTTGCAGATGAGGTATATACTTGCATCATCTGATTTTGAGATCTAGTCTGTCTGTCTCTCTCTGCATCTCCCTGTTCTTTTGTCTCCACACCTGGCCAGTGGGTGTTAGCGGACGACAATCGCCAAGCAGAAGACTGAAGGACAGGAGTACCCATGAATTTATCTCCTTCCCTTTCTTACAGGTGTTGTGGAAGCATGTCTCCTGCACATGCTGAAGCGCAGGGCTGCTGGCTTCCTGCGGACTGACAAGGTTGCTGCGCTGTTCACCAAAGTTGGCAAGACGTACGCAGTAGCAGGGGACATATGCAAGAAAGTGCAGGAACTGCAGCAGCAGGTGGAAAGCAGGTGAGGCTGATGTCTGTTGACCAGCAAAATTCCCGCAATGTGTATGCAGCCTGGAGAGGTTACGGACTTGTTGGTTCATGCAGAGTCTTTTATTAGCCAAATTTGTTGTAGCTTTGACTCTTTAGTGTCTGTATCTATAAGACAAATGTTTTTGTGTCATCAAGCTGATAGTTAGCAAAGAGACAGGGCTTGGGAACTGGGTCTTTGGTGTTTTGTGTGGTTTCTTGTAGTGTAGAGGATCAGGGTGTCCAGCCCACACAAAACAACAATAGTTAATAATAACTGGTGATTTGACAGAGCGCTCACAGCCAGGGTTTGATGGACCAGTTTGGACTGTTAGTGGGAAGGGATGTGGGTGGCAAGAGGAACTGATAGAACAGACTCCCTGGAAAAGCTGTTTTAACTGATAGAACAGACTTACTGGAAAAGCTGCTTTGGCACGCTTCTTGCCAAACCAGTAACAGATTTGATTTGTGGGTATCACAGCAGAAATGGTTGAGTTAATGGATACAAAGAGCAGTAGGTGAAAGGATGAACTCGAGAAGACATGGACAGCAATGAGAGACTGACTGGAGGAGCGCATTTAGGCATGCGCTGGGCTTGGGCGCAACTGAATTTGTACTGGAGTCGAGGACTTGAGATTGCAGTGAGGTCTCCCCAGAGCCTTCTCCTCCAGACTGAACATCCCCGGCTCTCTCAGCCTTTCTTCATAGGAGAGGTGCTCCAAAATCACAGCGCATGAGCCTGTGGGAAGAATATTTTGTATTGTACACAGGACAGAAGCATTTTTTCTCCCATTTGTACAGACTGTTGTACAGTGGCACTGCTAAGTCTTAAGACATATTTGTGGATTGGAGGAACTTTTTAGCCTTTTGATCAACTTGCTGTAAAAATGGTTTCGTCAAGAGAGCGACTGCATGTTTGTGTTACATTGAAGTCTTCAATAACTGACAGTTGTTTAAATTAGCACTTATATTTATGTGTAATTTTCTGGCTCTTATCTTTATTAGGCTTCTTCTAATTATCAGACCTCATGTACTCATGTAGTTTTTTATCAAGTACATACCTGGTTTTGATATATTTTTTATTTATGTGCCTACTGATTTAGACTGGTGTTTTATTCAAGTTAGTTTTTTAAATATTGGGAAGAAGGGTATCAGTGATGGTGTCTATTTCTTGACTTGGGATTGTCACTGCACGTGTGTGTTGCCTTGCAGAGGTTTTGTCATGGCCTAATGGAAGACTAGGGGCTGTGTAAATGCAAAGTACTATGGACTTCACCCAAAACAGTGCCCAACTATTGTTGCTCCATGGAAACTGCATTTCTACCATGTGAAGCTGTGCAGTAGCATGGCATGAAGCATAACGCGTGGGATCTACAGAAAACAGTACCGCCCTGTTCCTGCAGCAGAACACTTCCTCACAGCGTGCCTGAGGCACAATGCCCCCTGGGCTGGCCTCAGATAGGTTTGCTGGGCAGCAGGTAACTCCACAGGAAGGGTGACAACCTCCTGCGTGGTTCAGAGGCCACCTTGCTGAGCAGTGCCCACGTTCTTGTTTACAGTCGAGCTTGGGAAGTGATTCTGCTTTGTATAACCAGCTTGCCATCCTGTCACTAAAAGACAGCATTGAACTCCCCATTTCTGCAGTGGGCCTGTTGCAGTGCTACCTTATGCTGTCGGAACAAGCAGGGGGCTTGGCTGCAAGCAAGCTCCCAGCTGGCTTTGGATGCTCATTTGCTTTAGTTCTGGTTTCTCAGTTTGATGTTGCTTATCTCTTAGTTGTCTTGTTGTCATTCTGTAGGTGGTAAGAGAGAGGATCTCACTGCCAAGACACTAGCACAGACTGTGCTGTAGCTAGCTATACATGGTGCTTTGCAGAGAATAAAAAGATGGGCCTGTGCCCAAGGACTGCCTGACAATTGGGTGGCAGGAGCTCCCTGCAACAGCTCTGCCTGTGTTAATCTCAAATCCTACTCCGTGCTCCTGATCTCAGTGGGAATATCTCATGCTGAAGCAGCTTTGTGCCCTCGTGGGCTCATGGGTAGCTTGAGCTTGAAGGTGCAAGAGAAAGCTAGGAGACAAGAATCTTTTCCCAAATAAGTATGAAGCTTTATTTGATAAGAAGCAAATTTCTGTTCAAGTGCAATTTACTTTACATTATAGTTTGCATTTTGTTGTGTTTTCATTCTTTTGGGGCCTGTGGTCTGCAAGAGATTTGCTGCCTGCTCATTTCATCCTATAGTATGTGGAAGTTTTGGAGGAGCTCAAACGTTGGGCTTTTTCTAAAGCTTCAATAGCAAGAAGATATTTTTGTTAGGGACGACTGACATACCCAATACAGACCTGTTTGGGGGCTTTTTTTTAGAAGTTGTTTAGCATCTCTTGAATTAGATAGTCCTTACAGATGTCTTGGATTGATAGCCCAGAACAGAAACATCCTGAATCAGTAGTCAGAGCCGTGATTTTCAGAAAATCCCAGGTGAGGGACTGACTAAGACTCCACACCCCAGTAGTGGTGAGTGCTAACACCATAATATACACAGCTAGTGTACAGGTATGCGTTTGTCACATACATGGTGTGTATTCCAACAGCATTCTTTTCACTGGAAGGTTTCCAGTGAGGGGAAGAGAGTCTGAATTCTGACAAATTTTACTTTATCTCCTTTTGCAGGAAAAGTCAGCCAAATGGACAGGAACCCCTCAAGAGGCAGGGATCAACCACAAGTAAAACACCTGTACTGACACCTCAGGCCATCAAACACATATGGGTTCGGACAGCATTGATTGAGAAAGTGCTTGACAAGATTGTGCAGTATATTGTTGATAACTGCAGGTAAGGAAAGAATAAGAAGTACAGAGGTTTGTTAGACTGATGTGTTTAAGTGTCTTTTGATTTCATCAAAAGTCTTCTGCAAACTTCTTTGATACTGAATAGATCTGGTAGGGAGAAAACCAGTTACAAAGTCATTCAGTCATTTAGAAAACAAACACTTGTTTTGAATCCTTGACAATGGTACAGGCATACAGAAATGCTAACAGCCATACAGCTCTCCAGAAACCAGATAAAAAACTAACTTGCAATTTAGTAAAGGTGTTTTTTTATTTTTTTCTAAAGTTGGCAAAATATTAAACAGTGCTAGCAGAAAGAGTAATGCATTCAGAAGTATGTGAAGCCCTGATCCTTTCCACTCACTAAGGCACCTTAGGCTGCAGTAGTTATTAGGTGCCGAAATTCTAATGGGACCTAGACCACAGTGACTTAGTGGAATATAAATGTATTCTAGTAGGTCAGGAATGCTTAGTTTACTTATATTTGTTTGAAAGTAACCCTTCGGAATTTTAGCATGTCAGGAAGAAGGGAAATGAGGTTAGAACAGGGGAAGTTAATGATGTAAAACCTTAGAATTGTGCAAAAAGGTTCTTTGAATCATATTTCCTTCTTCAAAAATTTGGGCTTTGTGTAAAGTGAAACTTCCCTTGGAAAACTAGAGCGGAGTATCAATGCTTTACGGATGTAATCCACAGGGACTCTTTAAGGGAAAAGAGAAGTCCTCTATTCTGTCATTTCCTACTGTCCAGCATTAGCTTTGGTTTCCCAAGAGGTGGTTCTGAACTCCTCTTTGTGCTTTCCCATTCTCCCATAAGTGATTAAGAAGAATTATGGAGCACCCTGGGGACAATTTCCCATGAGAAGAGAAAGGTAGGAACCCCAAAGTTATATCTGGTCCCAGAAAAGTATATCTGCCCAGTTTGCAATTACCGTTGCAGTTTGTTCACAGTGCTGCTCTTGTAAGTCTTTCTGCCCTAGGGGGACACATTCTTGGCTCTCCAACACCTAAGGGTCTGAACAAGGGAGAGAGCTTAGGGCAGAGGAACTGTCTCACAGTTTTTTTGTTTGCATTATTGTTTTCTTTGTCATCAGCTTTATTTTCATGATCTATCTGGCCATTAAAAAGAAAGAAACTGGAAGAAGGGTCTTTCTGCTGTTCAAAGAAAACTGTTCCTCTGAGAACAAGTTCAAGAGCTGTGTGTAGAAGAAACTGAGAGGGTTGGCTGTGTCCCACAGACACAGTTACTGAAGGTATTTTGTATCCAGTGAGTCAGGATGTTTGCTGATACATGGATACAAGATTTTTTTTTACTTCCACATAATTCACTTGATATGTGACAAGAGAATTAGGTCACAATTGTTTCATTGCCATGTATTGTAGGTGTTCCCTTACTGGCTTCTCCATGCATGCAGATGGGTTAAGGCTGTGTCCTTAATTGGATGTGTCTGATTTTGAGAACCTCACTCAGTGAATAAGGCTTGTTCTCATGCAATTTTGTGAAATAAATGCTCAAATGCTACATGTTTAAGTTCTTCAGCTTCTCTGTTCTTGAGGAAGAGATGATTTAGAGTTCGAGCCCCATCTAGTGGAAGAGATGACAGATAATGACATTTTGAGATATTTGGGTGTTTAGATTTGTTGACTTTTTTTTAAAGTCAGCTTTGCCTGCTGTGATGGGAAGACTTTTGGGTCACTGCAAGAGCTACTATTTGTAGTAGTTCATTGTTCCTGACAGTGTTTCAAGAACATTCCTTACAGATGAACAAGATGTTTTAAGAATGTGTGGATCTCTCGGTCTCTGTGGAAAACTGGCAAAATTGCTTACAGAGAGTTGTTATTTGTCTCCATATTGCATTAGTGTCTAAAGCCTCAAATCAAATATACTGGGTAAACACATTTAGCAAAAGGCAAGCTCCTGCCTCTCAAGATCAGTGTCAAAAATAGATGAGGCAGAAGGAGCATACTGAGAGGAAGTGACTTGCCTGAGATTATACAGCTGATGAGTGGCAGAATGTGGATCAAGAGTAGGGATGGTGGTCCTCTTATTAAATATAGAAGTCTGGCGGGTAGGTTTATTGAACTGATTGTTCTAGGCTCCCTTTATGCACCATGGAGATCTAGTCAATGTTACTGATAGAGTTTGGGAAATTATCTAATAATAAAGGGAGTGTCTAAAATAGGCCGAGTTAATTTCTTCATAGCTTTCTTGCAATATATTTTAATACACTTTAAGAATAGGTAGAATCATAGTATCATCTAGATTGGAAAGGACCTTCAAGATCACCAAGTCCAGCCATAAACTTTACCTACAGAGTGCCATCACTAAACTATGTCCTGTAGTGCCTCCGTTTTACGCACCATGTGGTAAAAGCCTCCTAACTACCTGCAAACCCAGCACAGCATTTCTTCTTTGGAGATTGGTACATGAGCCAGTCAGTCCCTGTTAGAGCTTTCTGAGGAGGTGCATGCACCAGTGATTTCTAGGTATTCCTAGCAACTGCTTTTCCTCTACCTGTCTAGCTCAGGAAATGTATGGGTTTTGGATCCCTTTGGTCCCACTTCTGGTGGTTTTGGTAGCCAATTTTCTTATTGCCCATTATGTGAGAGAGTGTATTTGATAATCACAGCTAAATTCTGTTGCTGGAATTCCTTTTGCATTAGAACTGAAACTAAAACCAAGCTTGGAAAGCACTACAGATACACAGTCTAGATTTAATTTTCAGCCTTGGTAAAGCTCTTAGAACTCTAAACTCTTAAATCTTCCCTTTTATGTAGATAATTTAGTTGTCTGAATTCACACTTCAAATGAGCATTTGGTTTGAGTTTTTATTATGTTTTAAGTATGACCTCGTATATGACTGCCATTATCTATTTTGCTTTCTTTGGCTTACTTTTTGTTAAGCAATAATGTAATATTTTTAAAGTTAATGGACTAATACTACTGGGAGACATAAGAGCTTTTAAAAATAACAGCCAGTGTTTTTAACTGGTCTCCAATCTTTTATTCCTAGTAAATATTATGAAAAAGAAGCTTTACTGGCAGATCCTGTTTGTGGCCCAATACTTGCTTCTCTTCTAGGTAAGTTCTTGCAAAGTTACTTCTTATTATGCTAAAGAAAACACACTGTTTCTTAAGCCATTTTATTTTATAACTGTTACAAAAGGTGATTTTTATCTCTAGCACATAGTTTGGCTAGCTGTAGTAGAGCAATAGAGGAGATGATGTTTTGTTGCCTCCGAGACCAGTCCTATTAATTATCAGTTAGATCAAAGAATAGAAAGAAAATGGTATTTTTGCAGCATGCTTGCTAGCAGCTTGGAATTGTTAATGCTGCTTTGGCAGGGTTGCATCCTACAGAAATATTTTTTATGCAGCCCTAGATAATAGGATATGATATTACATGTACTGTCTGTATTATGTGCTGATCCTGTAGGATCAGTAAGTGATCATTAATATTCACCTGGCTTGAGAGGAAAATAATACTTTTGGTACTTGACTAGCAGGGTAACACTACGTACATGTGCAAACAGACTCAGTTTTCTTTCCTGGGCTATTTTTCTTAGTTGGACCATGTGCCCTAGAGTACACCAAGCTAAAAACAGCTGATCACTACTGGACAGACCCTTCAGCAGATGAACTTGTTCAACGACACCGGATTCATGGAGTTCATGGTCGCCAAGACTCACCTTCAAAGCGCCCAGCGCTGGGAGTAGGTATTTACTATGCAGCTATTTCAGAGTTCCAGGGCATCAGAAGAGGAGTGGCCAGCAGGTGGAGGGAGGTGATTGTCCCCCTCTACTCTGCCCTTGTGAGGTCCCACCTGGAGTACTGCCTCCAGGTCTGGGGCCCCCAGCACAAGAAGGTTGTGGACATGTTAGAGCGAGTCCAGAGGAGGGCCACAAAGATGATCAGGGGGCTGGAGCACTTCTATGAAGAAAGGCTGAGAGAGCTGGTGATGGAAGAGAAGGCTCTGGGGAGACCTCATTGCAGCTTAAAAATACTGAAGGGGGGCTTATAAAAAAGATGGAGAGCAATATTTTGCTCGGGCAGATAATGACATGACAAGGGGGAATGGTCTTAAACTGAAAGAGGGGAGACCTTGCTTCTCTGCGAGGTCTCTTGGCTCCAGAAGAAGTTGCATTCTACAGAGATTGGTCTGAATGGAACTGTGTTCCTGTTTTACTGGGCTGTCATTACAGTCATTCCCATGCTGCTTGATCTGCCTTGACTCTTTGTGTGTGTGTGTGTGCGTGCTAGATCCGGAAACGGCATTCAAGTGGGAGCACATCAGAAGATCGCTTTGCTGCTTCAGCACGAGAGTATGTGGAGTCTTTGCACCAGAATTCCCGAACACACCTCCTGTATGGCAAAAACAACGTCTTAGTCCAGCCAGTAAGTACGCTGATACTTACAGAAACCTGTGTTATCTGGCCATCAGAGAAACAAAGTATATATAATGTAGTGATGTGTAGGGTGGGCCAAATTTCCCATTTTTCTCTTGTATTTTCACATGTGGTTGGGTATTATTCTTGTTACTGAATTTGTGAAACAGGCTTTGTCCTCGTTGCCAAAAAGTTTTAAATATCTTAATGTAACATTGAGAACAAGGTTGATAGTTCTTACTTTCAGGATCTTCATGTCTCTGAGGAGGGTACTTCAGTGCTCCATCACTATGTCATGCTAAATCTTGTAAGTTGTATTAATTTAAAAATACGTTTCTTGAACTGAAGACTTAAGTGCACAGATGATGAAGTTGTGCAGGACCTGGAAGTGTGATTAGGCCAGATAAAAATGGCCTGGCATGTCCTGACTGTGGCCAAACCTACTGGGCTGATGAGGTGTGCAACATTGAGGGGGCTGGAATTAAGATCTCAGAATTGTGAAGGGGGCAGATAAACAGGAGAAGAAAAAAGCATGCATGCACTTGAATCACCTTCATTTTCTGTTTGTTGTTTCTGTGAACAGAAAGATGACTTGGAGGCAATTCCTGGGTATCTCTCCCTTCATCAGTCAGCAGATAGTTTAACATTAAAATGGACTCCAAATCAGCTGATGAATGGAACCCTCGGAGATTCAGAGCTGGAGAAAAGGTAGTCATTGAATTCAGGAAAAGATTGGAAGCATTCGTGGTGCTTATTTCTCATATACTTGGTAATAGGGCATCAGTGTAACAGAAGTGATTTAATCTAAGGGCTTCTGAATAACTCAGAGGTTGAGGTGTCAGGCAGCTTGAGTTCTGTTCCTGTTTTACCACAGATTAAGTGACTTTTCCAAATGTCCTGTAGTACACTTTGTCTTAAAACACCAAAACAGGAAAGGAACAAATGTGTAGACAAGGCCCAGATGCAGGCCCACAAGTGAGTTCAGATACATAACTACTGGAATGAATTGGGACCCTGCAGGGGGCCTCTGGATGGTAAAACTCAAAATTAAGTAACACACTAATCATCTAATGAACTTTTCAAAACTCGCTTAGGGTGGTTGTTAAAACAAACAAACAAATAAACAAAAACAACAAATTAATTGATTCCAGAGTATTTAGTCTAAAAAAGGGCCCTCTGGATTAGTGAGTGATACAGTAATATACATCACAAGCAGGATGTTGCAAAGTATGAGTTGGATACAGGGCCTTTTCAAATGGAAAACAAAAGCCCACTTTTCCACATGCTCTGGAGAAGGGACTCAACACTACCTTCCATCATTTACAACTCTAGTACCTCCCTTCAGAGGGTCATAAATCACTTGACAAGCATTGCTAATTTCAACCTCAAAAGAGAGACCTGTAATGTCATTCTCCTTCATTGGATCAGTTACTCATTTAATGTGGCAGTCTGCTTCAGTGGAAGAGAAGGCAAAGTCCTGAACCAGGCTAGTATGCTTCCTCAGAGAATGTCTCCTTCAGTCCCAGAACAGTGGTCTCTAATGCTTAATTCCACCCTGGGATTTTTATTTTTTAACTTCATATATATATATATTTCTAATAGAGCGTTATTGAAGCCCTGTGTCCTTGCTTTTAATGCTAAATTGTTGAGGTTGTTCTCAGAAGGGTTCAGAGCTGTTTCCAGTGTTTAATCTGTAAGCTTGAGCCCCAGTGGATTTACATGCTTCTGCTCAAAAATCCGGTGTGCAAGAAGACATAAGTGAATCTGTCTGTTGTGAAACCCAGCTACAAGACCACCATGAAGTCTGTCATAGGCATTTTAATCTTATCTGGAACATTGTTCTAACCTGCGGGGGTGGAGGTGGGGGTGGGAAGAGCGAGGAAGGGGCGAGAAGAGGGAGGGAGATCATGAAAAGGCTGGTGTCAGATGTAGGTTTGGTGGAGAACTAATTCCTTTGCCTTTTACTTGACTATTAATGCACCTTAATCGGAACAAATTTAAAAATCAGTTATTAACTTAGCAAAGTCTTTTTTTGGGGTGCTTGGAACCACAAGCACTCCTGAATGTAAAAAAAAAAAATTTTTCTCCTGCACTTTTTCCTTCCCTATTAGCGTTTACTGGGACTACGCATTAATAGTGCCACTCTGCCAGATCGTCTGCATTCACTGCCATCAACAACGTAAGCATAAACCTTCTTCACGTGGGGTACCCCCAAAGCCCCTGTCTGCCAGGTGAATTTTAATGCTGCTAATGCTGCTACCATTTTATATGGTGCCTATTAGGGGGTTAATGCAAAAGAAGGCAGACCATTTTTCTTCTTCAGATGTCTTCACTGAAAGACCTGGTAAGAACTTTGCCAAGCAATGCTTCAGTTGTCACTTGCTTTCTATGTTGTTTTTCCTGTGTGCTCTGTTTTTTTCTGAGTCATCTGTGCAGAACAGTACTTCTGGAAACTGTTAGAAGCAGGTATTAAACATAGAAGCTTTGGTTCTCTAAGCATGGGCCTTAATCCATTGACCTTTACCAAAAAAAAAAAAAAAAAAAGCAGGTCCGTCAGTGACATCATCAACCTGTAGAAATGGAGCGTGGCTGACCATCGAGTTCTGATGAGCCCGTTGTACTCAGTGTAGAGAGGGGGATCTGAACAAGATGCATCTCTGACTGCTTTCCTTACCACGAGCCTTAAACCAAAATCACAGAGCAAAGACAATGAACGTACAGAAATTGCATTTGCATTCAGATTGGAACTGCAGTCGGACTAACAGAACTTTTGAACTAAGTGCGTATTTTCAAAGACAGCTTATATATGTACTGCTTTGAAATAGGCAAGTGGAAGAGCCACTTGACTGATCACTTTCCCTCCGTGTTGTTAACACTTAGAACTCGTTATCCCATGCCAGCCCAGGCATATGGGGACGTGTTAAAACATACAGTCCTAGCTGGCAGAGGAGGACAGCTGCAATGCCAGTGCAGGTTTATTTGCCTCACTTGGATCAGCTTTCCCAGAACACTTCGTGCCTGTCCAGGGTAGAACTGACTGGCCAGGTGCGTCACCACTCTGCTTTGTGGCAGTTTCTTAGAAAAAGGGGAATTGGATAACAGGTGTGAAATGTGACAGCCTTTGTTGTTGTTCATTGAGAAGACTGTTTCAGCAACAGGTGCGGGTGCATACACAGCATGATTTTTGTTGTTTGCACAAGACGACAGACACTTGGCGGTCCTGCCACAGCACCTAGCTACCAGACTGGGACTTGTACAGCCACGCTATGGCACACATCCTGCTCTTGAGACGTTTCCCATTTTCCAGGTGGCTCTAAATGCCGTAAAGGAAGAAATACCAGAGATAAAAGTTTCAAAAGCACTCTGGTGAGTTATGTTCTTCATTCAGTAAGTTTTAGAAAAAGAAAATGAAGAGCCTAATTCACTTACACGCTTTTGAAAATTCTACTCAAGATTCAGATCATTACACTTGAAAGGGTACCCAGAGCCCAGGGTGGGTTTTGTTATTTGTGCTAAGTTTCTATTGACAGTGAAGATAGATGAGAAGAATTTACAACAGGGAATGTGACTTGCTAATTCTCACAGGAATAAAGCTTTTGGTTATATCCATGAGGCTAGCCTTCATTCTAAATCGTGTCCTTTGTAAATTACGCTACACGCCAAACACTTAGTTTACTTATTCCTTTGTTATTTATTATATTAATGTTCAGAATCACTTTAAATGTTTCTGCATGAGGCCTGTCATAGTTCGTTTGAATCCTGAGCTTCTTTAGGACTAAAGGACTGAGCTCACCCCTAGATTATGCTGTGACTTACAGAGGTTTATTTATCTACTTAGAGGTGGTCACAAATGAAACTTGCTTAGAAGGTAAGAACAACAAATAGAGATTCCGATGTAACAGTGTGGACTCCCATTGTCCTCCTTTGCAGCAGAAAGCAGATGGACATTAGTCTTGGTGAGTCAGGATGGAACTCAGAGACCTCCACTGCACTTCCCCCAAGGAGGTCACCTCCTTGCATTTCTTTCCTGTCTGGAAAATGGTCTTCTGCCTCGTGGTCAGCTGGAACCACCACTTTGGTCCCAACAGGGCAAGGTACTGCCTTTTCTGATGAGCTGCTTGTAGTAGGGCTGATCTTACCATCTTTGCAACAGCAACTTGCCCCACAGAGTCTGGGCATTATTATAAAGCAGCTGGAAATCAAAGTGGGAGGCAAAATAACTCCATTTAGTCCAATCTGATTCTTACAAAGATTGTCCATAAAAATTGTGTATACCTTCATTGCTTCATTGAGCATTGCACTGGAATCTGCTGTTGTATCAAAACATGATGCATTGGTATCAGTCCCAAACAATAGGGACTGAGACTCCAAGAGTCTGGGATATACTTGCTGTCAGAGGCTTGGATTACTGAGGAAGCTGGTGCCCAGCTCCCATGGAGTACAAGAAAAAGTTGTATTTTAAGTGCACAGAAAAGTTGTGTATCTCTAAACCACCATCTATTTATGACTCTAGTATTTTTTTCCCTCGCCCCTTCCCAACGCTGAAAATTTTATTTTAGGACTTAATATGCCAAAGGTTCAAAGTACTTAGTTTGTTGTGCTCTGTTAGTATTTGGTAGCTGAATGAATGTATGGGAACATTACTTTCTCTAGGGTAAGGTATTTCCAAAGCTTCGAAAACGAAACAGCAACAAATCAGTGGACCTAGAAGAAATGCCAACTGAAGACACTTCTACAGACTATGTGTTCAGAATTATCTATCCAGGACACAAGCATGATAACAGTAAGTGCCTTTGTTCTTCTTTGTTTAAAAACAGACAAAAACAACCAAACAAACAACAACAAAAACCAAACACAGCTAAGAAAATCTTCAAGTAATATCCTGGGAAATAACTGAAGGTAGCAGACAAACTGTTTGGGGGTGGAGGGAAGTGGAGCGGTGTTGGGGAAATCTACCACAAAGTTTCATTGGTTGATAATTGTGATCAACAGGTACAGCTAACTGTAGGTTTCCTTAACAAAGTGAAATTTCTTCATGGAAATGGAGTGGAGGTGGGAGATATTACGTCTACTCTGTGTTTTGCAGAGGAAGTTTTCAAAATACTCCCCTGGGCTTGCAAACTGAGACCAAAACCAAAAAGATTGTTTTACTATCCAGGAGCAGTTTTGCTCCTTAAGTGAGGATATTTTTTTATTGGCCATGCTGCTTGCTCATAATATTGCTATTAGGAAAAACAAACAAGCAAAACATAAACTTGACTCTTAAAGTACCCCCAAGAACTCCCTGGGCTGAGTTTTCCTGGCTTGGAAGCAAGAACTTAACAATAGATAAATAAATGCCCTTCTGAGGAAACTAAAAGAATTCCCAAGCACCAAACCACCTCATGTCATCAGTGAATACAAACTCCTTACATGCAAGAAAGCTTTTGAGCTAGTTCTCAAACAGTACGTTCAGTTTTATTCCCCATGGCAAAGAAGCAAGAATTTCCCAGGAAAATAAGACCTTAAAGTTTACAGGGAATTTGGATTTATTATTTATATTGGGACTGCAGCTGAGAAAGCAGAAATCTCAATTGTGACCCCTCCGTACCCTAGGGGACTGAACCACAGTAGTGGTTATGCTTTATTAGGGCCTCTGAATTTGCGCAGGTAAGTTCATGCACCCGCACACCAGCAAAAGCATGTTCTCCCTTTGCGTGAATCAAAGGGACTGCAGATTCTGTGGGCACAATCAGCACAGACCTGCTTGTTGAGTGCAAGGCAGAGAGAGCAGGCTCCTGCCTCAGGCTTCCTTAGAGACTGGCCTGTACCTTGCACGTTTGATGTGCCAGGCAGGGCTGGGGAGCAGACTGTGTGCTGCCCGGATGCATCTGACATGGGTATGAGAGTGGAAAGGAGGCCCCAGTATTGATTTGGCATGGTGAAGGAGGTGAACTAGTTGGAGCCTTGAATTCCCATGGAGTTTCGTTAAGGAGCATACTCACCTACTGCAGGCTAGCATTGGGACCTTCCTCCACTGCCATGATCTGTGTGTTCTCGGGGAACAGCCTGTGCACAATCAGAAGCTGGCCTGTGTTTGGTGGAGCATGCTTTTCTTTGTAAGAACCTCATTTTTCATGCTCACTCACACAGGAGCTTGTGCCCTCAGAAAGAGGGCAGGATTCAAATCCTTTGTCTTTGCTGAACATGTCCTTTTGAGCTTTCCCGCAGAATCAAGTTCTCTCTTCTTATGCTCCTCTTTCACTATTTTCTTTGAGCAGTAACTATTAACTACCACCACTTAGCTGCCAGCCGCTCTGCCTCTGTTGACGATGACGAGGAGGAGGAAGATAAGCTACACGCAATGCTATCAATGATCTGCTCTCGGAACCTCACAGCTCCTAATAGGATGAAAGGTTTTTATCCTCCTCCCCCTGTGTCCCAGAGCTCTATTGCAGCTCGTTCCACTGATGCATACAACAGTGTTGGCATTATTACAGGGCAAAACATTTCACTCGCGCCATGAGACCTGGAGATTAAGTTGACTGTGGTGAGGCTGGGAATATGCTCACAACCTATGGGAAGGGGAAACAGCAGCATCTTCCATCTCCTTTGAGCATCTGTGCTGCTAAACAAACAAATCTTCTTTACTTCCAGAGGCCTCCTGCCCCACCTTCATAAAAACTGAATACTAGAGCGTGTTGTCAGAAGAGAGGGAGGGAGTATAACAGGCCTTTATTTTCTCCCACCATGTCTTGCTCATGTACAGCATAACACTGTGGAGGGCAGCCTCATATAGGAGATCAGAGGTGCACCGTTACAGCAGTAGCAGTATGGTTTGTGCTGGGCAGAGTCAGACATGGAGAGTGCCTGTGTAAACAGAATAGGGAGAACAAAAGTGCAGTGAGTTTGAGCCCCAGTGGTGGTACAAGTACGTGTGCTCCCACCCAAACTCTGGATAACTCTGTAAGGTAGCAGAAGAGTGCAGAGAAGGTTGGGGTCAAAGCCTTTTTGTGGTCAGGTGCTTTCATTCCATCTCTTGCATTTGTAGGCTAGGTGATCAGCTGCAAGACTCTCTACCCTCTCAGAATGTGTCATCTTATTCTTTTCCTAATGCCATTTGTAACAGATGTATAAAATTAGTATTCTCAAGAAGTATAAGTATTACCAAGCATTCAGGATGTAGTAGTATAGTTCTGGAGACTTGGAAAAGTCCTTGCTTCTGCAGAGGAGGAAGCTGAATGGTGTACAAAATCCATTCCCAAGGTCTCCTGCACAGCTAGAATTCTAAAGCTTGCAGTTCAAAGGACAGACAGATGTTATCCCGGCCTGCCCACCAGTTCATGTGAAATCTCTCACTCCTCTAGGCTTACCAGTTACTGAACAGCTTCAATACCACCAGACCTTTGGCCTTGATACCTCTTGAGTGCACATGCCAGCTCTGGCATGCTCCTGTTATAATCAAAACAACAGCCTCTCTGTTCTTGCTGATAAACTGCAGTTATCAGCAAGAGAAAAGCTTCTCTGTTATCAGGCTGTAAAGTAGCTGTCACAAGCTGAACATCCACAGAGGAAGTCGGAAGGAGAGCAGCAGCTTGCAAGTTTGATTCTTGTCTGTATTTTTTCATTCGTTGTGTTAGCATGAACATGTTTCTTCTGGTGTTTCTGTTCCCTCAGAAAAACACAATATATCTTGAGTTGAGATATGACACTCACACCTTTAAATAGCAGAGCCATAAGTTTAGTTCTAGATGGATGATTGTCCTGGTCTGGTGGAACCACCTGTAGGAGAGTGCAATTGCCTGCATCTATACAGTGCCTAAGAGTTGTTTAGATAGGATATGAACGTTTGTTCAGAGAGATTCTCCTGGTAGGTTGCCCTCACATACATCCCAAGGTAGTAACACCTAAAACTGATAAAGCCCAGCCCAAGTTAATAGAGATGTCTTAGAATGTGTGGATGGGAAGAAACTCTGGTATATGTGGTTACCCTTGAAGAAAGGTGCTGGTTCAGAAAGTCGCTCTGTGTCTTAACTGATCACTTCTGGCTATGGGTGATAACAGAAAGGAAGGAGGTCTAACGCTGACATATGCACGTTAAGAAGCTAATGCTGTGATCAAAAACAATTTAGTCTTTAGTCAGGTCATGGAAATTTTAAGTTATGCTACTAGAATGGCTGTCAGGTAAATTTATTTATTTATTTATTTATATCTTGGTATAATGGTGTAGCTAGGATTAATGTTAATGGCATAGCTAGGGTTATGTCTGCTATTTGAGTAGTGATTCTTGCTGAACTAGATTGGACTTGCTGTTGTCTGTCCAGCAACATCCCTTTTGAATAATGACAACACTGTTGTAGCAGGTTTGCTAGCTATTTGCTTTTACATTTTGCAACATGCTCAACTTCTGCATGTAGCTGAAGTTACAGATAATACTACAATTAAATAAAAGATGCTGTTCACTCTAATTCTTCACTAATTCAGGTACCTTTCATCTGAATATTTAGGTTCTGTGGGGTTCTTTCCTTCTTTCTCTAAATATATATATATATATAAAATAACTGAAAAACCCACTTTTCTTGTCTGTAGAGGGGAGGCAAAAAAATAATGATCTAAAAATGTTTGCCAAATGGTTTTTATTTGAACCAAATGAGAAGCTGCAATAAATACTGGGTCATTCAGCTCCTTCCTTGAAGAATTAAGGTGAAGAGCATTTTTTCATCACACTTTGTTTTGTGAAGTGAAATACACATGACTGCTTCCGCATGAGCCTGTGCTTTTTCTGTGAACAAATGTTTCTACTCCACTCCTTCCTCACCTATGCCCACTTTCTAATAGGCACTACTAAAATGCTTTACGCTACCTTGATTTAAAATGCATGAGATGGTTTGGAATTGCCCCTACCACCACCCAATAAATGTCTGTTTTAAAAGCACGGCCCAGGGGACTGGATTTTGCTTACAAATGTTAATTCACTGGCATATAGTATTATGGCATTTGCCTTAATTTTAATCATGGGTGAGCTGAAAGGCCAGTTATTTATTATAAAAACAAAAAACCCACAAGCTCAAAGGCCAGCTGGAAAAGCTAAAGAGACGAAGCGAAGCTTTTAAAGGCAACTGGTGATTTTTTTGGTGTTGCCTTAATGAAGCTGGTTTAAAAAAAGCAATTAGATTTTGGTGAGCAGGGATAACTCGAGAAGCTGCACTGTACTGTTGGATCACGTTTTCCTGCAGAGAATCCTACTTTACAAACATAATGTTGATGTTAGTAGGACTTGAACTATCCCATGCTAAATAATTTAGGTTCTAGTTGTAAGTAGGGGGAAATATGCATCTTCTAAAAATAACTGAACCAATTTTTATTTCTTTTATGCTCAAACTTCCACTCTAGCTGGACTAGCAGTTACATGGCTGATTCCAGGAACTGCAAAATGAAATTCTAAGACCTGAATTAAAAAGAAGGTCAGGTTAGATTATCTCTTCTAGCTTTAAATAATATTATCATAACATTGCACAATAACCAGTTTTAGTTGTTTCTACAGCACCCTTTTCTCTGTTCTCTTGAAATATGGGCTGGGATGTGCATGGGCAAGAAAGGGGGAAATGGTGAAGGGATTTCACTCAGGTGAATGTGCACAGCATGCTGCGGGTTTAGGTTATGGTGAGAGCAGTATTTCTGAGGTTAACTAAGACAGTGCTCTCCCCTTTTTGCAATCAAGGTTCAAAGCCTGCTGAGAAGTAAAGCATGAAGCCATCAGGATGCACAGAAGGAAGAAAGGGAAAGAAGAAAAAAATTTGATGGCCTGCTGTTTTTGTTTTTGTTTTTTTGTTTTTTGTTTTCCCTAGACACGAGTGAAGTGATAGAGATGCAAGGTTTTGGGGCAAACTTGCTTTCGTGGCAGCTGGAGCATTGTAGCCAAGGCTCCTCATGCATCTCCTGTTCAACGGGCAGCTCTCCCTATGACATACCCAGCTGCTGCAACTGCATCCACGATAGGTAAGCAAGTTGTCCAGACAGCTTAGGTGGGAAAATTTGTGCCATAGTTGAAAGCAAAGGTATTTTATTGGTTGTAGCACCAGAGACAAAGAATAACAATTTTCAAATAGCTTCTAACATGAAAAGATGGAGTTTTATAGCAAGACACTTAGCTTATTGAAACTAGCCTATTAAACTAATCTCAAGTCACATTTTGGTAGAAAATTTGCAGGTTTTTTTTTGTTTGTTAGTTTAGTTCAGTGCAATTCAGCTCTGTAAGCATGTTATTTAACAAGTAATTAACAATTATAATGAAGGACAACAACTCATCTAATTTGACAAGGACCTTTACAATGCACCTGAAGCAGTTGTAGCTAAATGCACCAGATTAATCTGTTTTGGGCCAAAATGCTGGTGGGAAAATGCTTTTAAAAGTATAATTTCTAATTATGGTTGTCCCTTAGGTAAATAAATCTTGATGCAGAGAAAGAATCGCTATGTGTAGATCATAGGGATCAGCATAAAGTTCACGATGATTTCTGTCCCTGTGACCTATCGTGTTCCCGATAATGTGTCTCCACAGAACTCCATTAAAGATGCTGTGTGAAAGCATGAAGAGGCAGATAGTTTCCAGAGCCTTTTATGGATGTAAGTGAAGCTTCTTAGATCCGGCCCTTGTGGTATCTGTATGCTTACCTAAAAAACACGTAATACTTGCTTTAGAAAGTAGTCTAAAACCAAATTTATCGTTGCAAGTCAGATCAACTCAGGGCATTAGTGTGGTCGTGACCCAAGTATCACAGCTTCGTAATTCCATTATTTGTAGGATTTAATACAGCTCTGGGAAATTGATCCTTAGCGAAGACAGAATGTAATTTTACACTGCAATGCAGTACTCTACTTGGGTTTCACTTGTCTGTGTAAAATGGATTAATCTTTGGCTCTGTTGCATTTCCTCATTTTTGTATAGTACAAGCACAAGGTTACTTCGTATAGGATTATTAGTGGCAAGTTTAAAATGTCACAACCAGATCTTGAAAAAGGCTGCTGATATTGCATAGGTTGTTCATTCATGTTTACCTCCTTCCCCAATCCCAGGGCTTGCCTACTGCCGACATTTGTCAACAGTGCGAACACATCTGTCTGCTCTAGTGAACCACACAATTATCCCACCTGACAAGCCATCCAGTGCTGCAGGAGGTCTGACTAAAGAGGTTTGGAGCAAGTATCAGAAGGACAGAAAAGTAAGTAACAGAATACCTCTGTGATCATTAAACTAACTCCCATACGCTGCTGTGGTGAGCATGGGATCCCTTCGAATGGCCCTGCAGGATGTATTAAAGCATTCTGGTCCTCCCAGGGTGACTTCTCTTTCTAGTGAAAGGCAGTTGATTCTTACACTTCTTTATCTTTTGCTTCTTTGATGATGGCAAAGATGTCAATGAACATCAAAGCAACTGATCTCATGATGACTCTAATCTATTAAAAATTAGATTATTTTCATGGGAGACATGACAACTTTTATTAGATTGGATTTGAACTAGGGCACTAAAGGCATGCATCAAGTTGCAAAATCTGTTTAGTGCCTTGTGTGCGTTTCACTGTTCTTTGTACTTGAAATTAAGTGTATATGAGCATGCCTGAGGAAAATAAAGACGTATTACCTTCAATACCTCTTTCTCACAACTGCTGCAGAATTACAAGGAACTGGAATTGCTAAGAAGAGTTTATTATGGTGGGGTACAGCATGAGATTCGAAAGGAAGTCTGGCCGTTCTTGTTAGGTCACTACAAATTCGGCATGGCCAAAAAGGAAATGGACAAGGTAAGTACAATTTTCTGGGGATTTGAATTATGCTTGCAGAGTAGGCTTTGGTTTTCAAATAGCAAGCGTTAGTCTTTATTACTTTATTAAGGAGAATATTATCCTGTTCTGCAGAATATAAGCTCCTATAACCAGTTCTTTTCCCTGAGTTTGTACCGTATGAACACAAGGGTACTTGAAACCTTATCTGGAAATCCTGTGAGCTAACTCAACATCATCAGTAAGTAACAGTAATAACTGACTCCTAAACGAAATGTGCTGTTGGACTCTTAAATAAAGCTTGCCATTGAATCTAACAGTCTATTAAATGAAAAAGATGAGAACAGTCATAACATCAGCACGTATGGGAAACTTCTGTCCTTAACTGAAGTCATCACGGGTAATTTATCATCGTTGCCTTCTGGTGATATTTTTGCAGTCATCCATCAGCATCTGGGGGACTTCGAAACATGGCTGTCCTCCAGCCTTCCACTAACTGTTGTATTTTGTGATTTATGACTCCGCAGCTATCTCAAGTGACAAATAGCCTGCAGCTCTTAGCATGAATGCTCTGGTAGCAACTCCAGCCAGCACAGTCCAGAGCCTGGAGCCAACTCACAATTGTGGTTTCTCTTCAGCTCCTGACAAGTGACAGAGTAGTGAAATTACTACATGTCCCTTAACGGCTCGGGGTTCTGTGTCCATCTTTCAATGGAGGAAGCCAGAGATGGCACAGATCTGTTTTATTACTAGAGGAATCAGAGTGGTTAGATCTGGCCACTGTGCAGTATACTAGGCTATGTGAGCTGGCATTTCTACTATTCAAGACTCTGTTCCAGCATCTAATTCTTTATGGGCTGATGTCAATAAACCTGTGTCCTGGAATTCATTGCAGGAGCTGTGTTAGAGATGTCATAGAGAAAGAGTTGGGAAGGAAGTATAATGAAATTAGGATTAATCCAGTTATTGCTCCATCAGATTGCATCTGACTACTGTGTGAGGTTTCACAGTCAGTGACATCTATGGTTCTTTCCTGAACAGCATCAAGGCACTGTTGATAACGTATACAGATGTCTGTATGAATCTTTTCTGGCATCTACAGTGATAGTTTGTTCCCCGCAGTAAATACCTAATTGGCCCTTCCTGTGCAACATCTTACTGTTCCAGTCATGGCATTTTACAGTGATTTGTGCTCTAGCAAGAGGACTTCAGGAGCCTTCAGGCTTTTGATTTGATACATTACATTTGCTTTCGTTCTTCCCTTCTGGCTTCCATTCATTTTTAATGCTGTCTTTCAAGGAGGATCAGCATTTTAGTGTCTTATCTGTCTGTCTGCAGGTCGATGAAGACATTGCTCTCCGGTATCAGAAGGTCATGGCTGAGTGGAAGGCCTGTGAGGTCATCGTAAAGCAGCGAGAGAAAGAATCACATTCTGCCACATTGGCAAAGTTTTCGTCAGGTAGCAGCATTGACAGCCACGTCCAGCGACTGATACACAGGGACTCCACCATCAGCAATGATGTAAGTACTCCCTTCCCTCTCACTCTGCAGGCAGTGATGCAGAACTGAGCAGTTCTCAACTGTTTGCTTGCAGGGAAACTCCTTTAATCAGTGATCTTGTTCACTGCAGCAATGTAGTTATTTGTCTCTTGTGGTTGGAGGTTGGTTTGCTACTTTAATGTTTCCTGCTTCTCTGTTCTCCCCTGCTTTATCTGAATCTTTTTTTTTTTTTTAACCCCCTCCTTGCCCACCCAAAGGTCTTTATATCAGTAGATGAAGCGGATTCAGCAGAACGAGACTCAAAAGGTCAAGATGACCCTACTTTCACTGTGGTGTCTGTCGACACACCAGCAGCAGTAGCTGCCGTAGAGCAACAGTCTGTAGAGTTTGACTCCCCTGACTCTGGGCTGCCATCCTCACGGAACTACTCTGTGGCCTCAGGCATCCTGTCCAGTATTGATGATGGGCAAAGTGTCTCCTTTGAAGATGGGGCTGAAGAAGAAACTAGCACTGACTTGGAAAGGACTGATCCAGACGTACCACATGTGCAGAAAGCCAAGTCAGTTGTACTGCAGTCTCAGGATTCTGTATCAGAAGAGCAGCTGTGTTCCCAGGTGGATTATTTAATGGATGTTGCTTCTGTCTGTGCTGCATCCTACACAGTAGGTCACAACTTCTTTATCATAATTTTTTTCTGGCAAAGACTTGTACTGGATTTCAGATAGGATTTAGTGAGAGACAATCCCAAACTAGAACTGCAGGTGGTAGGAAGATAATTGAGGATCTTTGCATCCAAATTATTTCATCTGTATTTTGAGATAGATTATAAGACAGCAATAAAATTTTGTGTCTTTTTAGAGTGAAAATAACATGGTAAAGATCTAGTAGCTAAAAATTTTAAGAGAGAATAAGATACCAATTGTAAGATTTCAGTGTCATTTAATTCAAGCTGAAATCCCCATTTAATCAAATTGAACCACAACCTAAATGAAGATCCAAGACATCACCATGTCTATTAGTGTTGCTGTTAACAGATGGAGTTTTTTCTTTCACTTCTCTGTTGGAGTTGCTCATCTGGACATAACCCTTTGTAAAGAGGACAGGCTTGGAACATTTGTGAGAGAAACTATGCACCGTTTACTTGGGATTTTTGACAGTAATTGAGTAGTTCAGTGCTCTTGTAAGTCCAAAGCATAATTTTACTATTTCTGGTTTGTTGATTCTTAGACTGAATTTGCACCTGGGAATGCTCTAACTCAGTCTGTACTCACTACTGATGGATATTCTCTTGTTAGTGCCACCTAAGGTAGTCATGAGGTTGGCATCAACTCTGATCTGTGGAGAGAGGAAAAAAGATATGAGCTCTGTTTACAGCTACATGCTCCTTGCTGATGATATCTATCTAAACTAAATGTCTGCCTAAAAATGATTTAGCAGCCTGCCTCTCTTTTGACTGAACAGCAGATCTAGCTTAAGCTTTTCTCTTCTAGATAGAATTATTGGACACTGTTGCCTTAAATTTGCACAGAATTGATAAAGATGTCCAGAGATGTGATCGGAATTACTGGTATTTTACTGCTGATAATCTGGAGAAACTCCGCAATGTCATGTGCAGGTAATACAGCCTGTAAGCTGAACTACTTCTCACATAACTGTCATAAACCATAAAGTATAATAATATGAAAATAATAATTGTACAAAAAAAAATCAGTAATGAACTTAAAAGAAGGAATGGTAGTTCCTAGTATGGAACATTAGAAAGTACAGATATGATAGGTGGTCCACATTTGGAACATGGACTTGAGAGAGTCTCCTTTTACCTCAAGAAACAGACTCCATCGTTCACCTTGAACTGTTCTCTTAATGTACTATTAGCTCTGGTTTCTTCCACATGAGGATAATATATCTTTGCTGCAATGGGGTGCTATAAATGGCAATTAATAATTGTGAGGTGCCCAGATACAGTGTTGCAGGACATCTACTAGGCAGACAAGAGGATTGTTTAATCCTATTATCACTTGTGCTTTCTTCTTTCTGCAGTTATGTTTGGGAGCACCTAGAAGTTGGTTATGTTCAAGGCATGTGTGACCTCCTGGCTCCTTTGATGGTTATACTTGACAACGGTAGGAAGCGTTTTCTTTAGGAATATGTTGGTATCTTTAGGGAGTTCTCTATAAATGCTGTTTTAGAAGAACTTGTATGCATTAATCAAGGTTAGCTCACTAGGAAAAACAAACTTGCAGCTCTTGATCCATATTTTCTTTAAATGTGGCTGTTGATATTACCAACATTAGTACCTCAGAGGTTCCCTGTTTACTGACCAACTCCAGATTAAATTTTACTACATTTTCAAAGCAGCCGTGTTCCAGCAGTTGCTTATGCTGAAAACTCAACCTTAAGCTGTTCAGAAACATAATTAAAATGGTCCAGAGTTGGGTACTGTCTTCTGTTTCACCTTAATACTGATGATGGGGATAGGGAACAGCAAAGGGGAAAACCCTCTTTTTTTCTTTTTTTTTTTTTTTTTTGTGTTTGCCCTGCTGTACATTACTTTGGTTCAAGGACATCAAAAGACATGGAACACTAAATGTTCTGCATTATACCTGCAGATCAACTGGCTTACAGCTGCTTCAGCCACTTGATGAAGAGGATGAGCCAGAACTTCCCCAATGGAGGTGCTATGGACACACACTTTGCCAACATGCGGTCCCTAATCCAAGTGAGTCTCTTTGAATTTTATTTGAAAGAAGATGAGATTGTTTCAGAGGCTCAGGACTAGCTTGAAGGGCAAGGACTCCAGTGAATAGGGTTCCTAGCCATCTGGTACTTCAGAGCTGTGGAGGAGATTTATGCAGCCCCAGAATGATTTCCTGCTTTTTAGGGAACAATATTTGCTGTTACAATAGACTATGCATTAGGGCAGGTCAGCTCATAATAACTTGACAGAACAAATTCCCAAAACTTCTGCCTTCAGTACACCAGCTACCCCATGTAATGACTCATACTTACGGCTCATTCCAGCTTCAGCTGAAGTCAAGGAGAAATCACATTAAAATCCAGTCACATCATAGCTGCACAGACAGTGAGCCTTCACCCTGTCAGTCTGTCAGGGCACCCACACCATCAGCATTTTGCAAATGCATAACAAAAGGGCGGATCTGTGCTAAGCAGCTGCTCAGAATAACCATAGCTGATAAGAAGTAGCAAAGAAGTCTTCAGCAGCCTCCAACACCTTTGATTTGGGCTACTTTCAGACAAGATAATGTTTAACATCTGATGTTTTGCATTTTAGATTCTAGACTCAGAGCTTTTTGAATTGATGCACCAGAATGGAGATTACACTCACTTTTACTTCTGCTATCGCTGGTTCCTGCTCGACTTTAAAAGAGGTAATAATGTTCTATGCCTATAGTTTAGAGTTGTGCAAAACTGAATTGATGTTTTGATGTAAATGTCTGGATGATCAGCAGCTAGGCTCACTAGAATTCTCAGAGATTAACTACCATTGGAATGATGTTGGCTGGAAAAGGGGAGAGGGAAAGGGAAGATTCATCAGATTCTATTCTTTTCTGCATAAGGCCTGCAAGACATTAATTAGAGGGGGTAAAAAGGTCAATTTGAATAATCAGATGCTCTTGTAATGTTTATTCCCATTCAGAATTGTTGTACGAGGATGTATTTACAGTGTGGGAAGTTATTTGGGCAGCAAAGCACATCTCTTCAGAACATTTTGTCCTTTTCATTGCCTTAGCACTTGTGGAAGTTTATCGAGAGATTATCCGTGATAACAACATGGACTTCACTGATATCATCAAGTTTTTTAATGGTAAGGGACATTTTTAAGAGAGTCATTTTGATAAGAAGGAAGTATTCAGAGTTTGTTGCTTCTCCCGTATTCTGACAAACCACCTGCAATTGTGCAGTGTTCTTGCTGATATGAAAAGCCCCATTTCAGTTTAAGCTGCACATTTCTTACCCCTTCAATCATGTTGCTTTTCATGGAAGTGAAGAGCCCAGATTTTCAAATACTTCCTGAAGATCTTACTTGGCACACAAACAGCAGCATTCCTGCTTCCCTCAAAAACAAACAAAAACACACTAAAGATTCTGGTCTGTCAAGATTTCAAGAGCTACTTTACTCTAGCTATCTTACTTTAGTACAGGCCTCTTTATGTGGAATTATTTAGCCACATTGCTCCAGGTACACAAAGCCCTTCTTAACTGTATTATCACTTGCATCCCAGTCGATCCAGCAATGGTCCCTTCCTGGAAGGACATCTTTTGATCAAGTTAGGTTCTGTTTCTGCAGCTTTACATTTTTTAGAGTCCAGGAGGGCTGTTCACAGGCATGTGTGGGTGCAGACCTCCCATTCCTGTTCTGTGGTCACAAGGCACTGAGGTTTTCTGGAGCAAGAGAACTGACACCTGAAGGATTAGATCTTCATGCAAGGACCTATAGCACTAAGGGATTCGTTCATTTATTCTACTGTTAATTCTACAAACGTAAAGCCCAGCAATACTTCTGGATTGCTGCTTGTGTTACACTAACTAATCAATGCTAATGTTATAGTACTATCAATGCTAGGGCACAAAAGTTCCTGTCACTGACAGTTAAGAATGTTTGTCTGTGTCTTTTAGAAATGGCAGAGCATCATAATGCCCAGGAAATACTGAGGATAGCAAGAGACCTTGTCTACAAAGTGCAGACACTGATTGAAAATAAGTGATAACGAACAGACTGTCATTGTGGGCCTTGTTGTGAGCTATTGGATGGAGCATTTCTTGCACTGTAACTTCAAAACAGTGTTTTAATTGCATCTTCCATGTAATGTAATAAATATCTAACAGATTTGTAATACTTTTAAAAATTGAACTTTTCCTTCACAAGATAAACTTTGTGTTTGATAGTCCTTGTTACACTCAACTTTGTATTTCAAGACGGAATCTTTTTTCATTCTTGTATTTCCCTCTCTCTAGAAGACTGTCTACCTACATATTTGAGATATTAAAGGGGGGGGGTGACATACTGGAACACTTATATTTTGATTTACTGTACCCTTAATAGCACATTTTGTGCTCTGACAGAGCTTTTCAAGGAGGTAAGCCCTGATCCAGTACTCAAGTGTCACAAGCATTGAACTGGGTCCTTGGAAGAACACAGTTATGGACACAGTTTGTGGACTATGCCTTGAAAGTGGAAGAGAATGCATATGCAGCTCCTGTTACTAAAACATTTGAATTTATATTCACCAGAGTATTTAGCAGCAAGTAAAATAAACAAGGTTACCAACTGAGAAAATAGCCTTATAGTAAATAACATAATTAAGATGAGCAGTGAAGATCTGGCAGCATTGGCTAGAAATGGGGGTTAGCCTTTGCTGACAGCGCATGCTGTTGAGTCTTCACGGCCTACAGCATGCCACAAACATGCCCTCACTTTACTTTGCAAACTTACTCTGCAAGTATTCCCAAATGACAAATCTGCCCAATATAGTTCAGGTTAACACAAGTTGAGCACACAGAAACAGTTTCCTTGCTCATGTTAGCAAGTCCCACACTGCATCTGTGTGGAATCCCATGAAGTTCAGTCACTACTTACGGAGCAGACACCACAGAGCCTCACCTCCTCCGGTTTATTCACTGCTCACTACTAGCCTCCTCCTCCCCGCTCTGCAAAGCTTCCTGGGAGGACTTTCCTTGGGATCCTGCAAACACAAACCAGGCACTCACTAACTCAAGCAGGTGTCAGTACTTGCTAGATTAAGCAGTTCAAATTGTTGCACAGGCTCCATTTTGCTGTAGCACTGTGCTGTTTTGTCGAGCCATCCATGCACCCCATGGCAGTTCTGTGCCATTTCTTTCTTGTGCTTGGCTGCATGCTTTAAGTAGCAGCATAGGCTTTAATCCGTGCTCTATAGAGATCGAAGGTGACATAGAGTTAGCTGGGGCTCAGCTGTGCAGCTTTAAACAAATCTATTGCCATCTTAGCACTTCGTCACACTAGATAACATTTATCATGTATACTCTGAACTACTTTCCCAGGGTAGGTGTTGTTTCTAAGTAAAAGCGTATCTCTGTATTAGCATAAGAGATGAAGGGAAGGAGCAGTTTTGTTGCAAATAGGGTTAACTGTAGATTTCATGGATACGTGACCTGTGCTCCTAGAAGTCCTAGTGATTTAGCTTAAGCACTTTAACTATTCCACCCTTGGCTATTAGAACCTCAGTGATTTAGAAGAAGAAAAAAAAAAAAAGAGAAAAAAAGAGTGTTTGAATCTCTTTTTTTTTTTTTTTAAATCAGAGCACGCAGGTTTACGTAGCTTTGTTTCCATTGAACCTCATAGAGAAAACAGTTTTCAACTCTGCTTTTAAGAAGTTTATATTGATTAGATCAGCTCATGTGAGCTTCTAAAATCAGATTTTTAGCAAAATGGGTGTAGGAAATCAAATTACTCTGAAGATTTAAATCCTGAGAGGTGACTCTGCTCTCATTATTGCACAAACAGTGAGCAGTTTCCTCTTGCTTTTTGCACTACATTTGTACTGCCTTTGGGGCCTCATGAGCCAAGCATTACTTGCACGTGCAAGAGGGATTTGGTTCTAGAATGAGCATCTGTGATTAGATCTCTTCTTATGAAAATAAATAATATGAATAGTAGTCCAAATGGACACAAAGTGCTTTTCAGCTCCATAACCAAGCCCTTAAACCGGTCTCTGAAAATTTGATGGGATGGTAAAGAAAAACACCCATCCCAACCCATCCCTCCCTCCGTTGTCACACAGCCTGCGTCACTTCAGTCCTGCCCCCCCCAGACCAGGTCATCAGGCCCCTGGTGTAGGCACACGCACCTTCACTGCTGTTGTGGGATCAAACCTGTCGTTCTCCACGCTCAGAAGCACCATGGTCACAAAACAAGTGCGAACAGATGAGCCTACATAATGCTGAAAAAGGTACTGTGGAGGAGGCGGTTTAGAAGGAAACCCCCTTTCTACACAGAACAGTGCTAAAATAATCGCAGTGGGAGTTACAGAAGGAAGAAAGTTATGATAAGCTTTACTCCCCTCCCGCCACGTGCTCCCACAGTTAGGGTGTGCTCAGGATTAGAAGCCAAGAAGTCGTACTGCAGGCATGCTCACAGCCTGAACTCGTTACCTGTAGCTGTGCATCAAACTGTTCTGTAGGCCAGTGCATGGCTGCTGAAAGGTCTCCAAAGCGCTTCAGTTTGTGTGTTTGTCTGTTCACTTGAAAAGTGAAATAGTATTTAAAAAAAATGATGAGCGAAAAAGCCCTCCAATTCACAGAGCCTGAGAAAGTGATGTAAAAAATAAAAACTGCACTATTTTTTTTGTTGGGAATGTACTATACCACTCTACTGTTTAAAAAAAAATCCTCTACAAACTTTGTTGTATTTGTTAAAATGTTCTGTCTAATTGTATTTTATGAATATTGTGTATTAACTTATTTATTTTTGTCAAGAGCAGACTATTCTCTTTATTGCTCAATTATTTATGTTTAAATGTAACATATGAATAAATACTGATTGTCAAGGCATTCTGTGGAGCAATTTGGAAATAATTTCTCTCCCTCCAAGGTAATTTCAGAGACAGAACACGGAGCCCTAAGGAGCGGGCTGTCTGGGAAGAGAGCATGATATGTAATTAATGTTTCAATGATCAGCGTGCATGGGTTTTGTACTAAGCAGTAGCTTTAAAGTAAATAGGTCATCACCAAGTAGACCGCTGATGTCCCTTAGATGACTTTAAGCAGAGATTTAAATTACATACAGTGCATGCCTAAGAACACCTATCGTCACATGCTGAGCCTGCTGGCAGTTCAGCTTCAGAGGAGGAGTGGGAACAGAAGTAGGCCTATGACAAGTGTTAAAAAATAAAGTTTCATCCTACATTTTTAGGCCTGATCGTGCTGCAGCTAACATTAAGATCTAGCAGAACTGCTGGGCTTCCAGGATAGATCCTCCTCCAGCACTGCCAGTTCATCCTCCAAACCTATAAAAAATCCTCCTGCTGCTCCTCTTCTAGAGCAGTGACTCTCCCTCTTCCAGAACTTGCTATCTTACTTGCCTTTTTTGTATGTTTATTTTTTTGTTTGTTGGTTTCTGTTTTCTTTTTTTTTTCTTTTTTCTGTTATCAGTTTTTGTAGAGATTGCCCTTCCAAGTTTTTAGGTAAGCCTCATTTGTGTTTCTGCAGGAGAGCTCTGCCCAGAGGTGGTTCCTGAAGGCCACTGGAGCATTTCCCTAGTCTACCGGCTGTAAAAACACCCAAGTATAATGGCTCTCTGTACTGGAGAGCATGCAGCCATCCCTCAGCCATTACTCGTGACTGTTAGAGCTCTTAATCATGTATTTATCCTTATAAAAGAGAATAAGCTCTTTACGAGGTGTATCTGGTGCCACCCTGTCCTTTGCCTTCATCTTGTAACGTGGTGGGAGCTTGGACTGGGATGGGAGACGTGCACAGCACAGCTACAACCACACATTTGCTTTCTCTTCTACAGGACCTTCTTTCTTATTACCAACACCCCCCCCATCCCTCAGCATTCTTCTTCTAGCAAGTTCTCAGAAACTTTTGAACGAGGTATTCTACCTTAGACAGCTGTCCCCCAAAGCTGCAGAGTCCCTGCAGCAACATGAATTTATTTCAGCAAGATGCAATGTCCCAGTCAAGTTTCGTCACCCCAAAATTCTCACTTCTACCCAGTGCCAGCAGAAAAAATCAAACCAAAAGAAATCTCCCCTGCTTCCTGCCCCCTTTTCTGCAACCCAGAGACAGCTCTAACAGTGTGCTTGGTTAGGTTTCATGTGTTTCCTCCAGTCTACCACCAATTTTGCCAAACACAACAACTTTGGCACTCAGAGTTTAGTGCCACCTCTTCCAGCAGTCTATTTATTTATTATTCCAAGGACTGACTTCCTTCTGCCTTCAGAAGCTCTACCTCACCTTTACAGGTTCATAAAGAAAATACAACAACAATAATAATAAAAACTCGGCCCCCAAACCACGCTGACAGCACTGCTTTGGGTTTGTTTTTTGGAAGGTACCACCTCACCCTCCCAAGCTGTTCCACGCGCTGCCAGAAGCCTTGCTGGGCAGTGAGCGGCGCCTCCTGCTTCACCGCTGCCGCCGGGCGCTGCTCAGGGGCAGAGGGAGGGTAGCAAAGCTGGTGGCTGCTTGAGGATGAGCTCAGCCCAGGGAAGCCCAGGGGCCTTCGCTTCCAACCTCCCCAGACCCCCACCTGCCTGGTCCAGGCATCCCCTTGTCTGGATGTTTATGAGGGATCTCCCCCGTGCCTCCTAAATAGCTCAGAAAGAGGAGTCTGAGCAAGTTGGCACTGTGGGGTGGTCAAAGGCTTCATCACTGTTTATGCTCCATAAAACATTCCAACTTTCCATCCCTTTTAACGCCCATGTGCCTTTCACTCCAGTCAGGCACGGTCCTGATACTGCTGGTAACAGCCTGCCACATCAGCCTGCCCAGGCACAGCTTTTTTTTTTTTTTTTTTTGATGCATGCTTGGACATAACTTTTGCTACAGCTCAGTGACACTTTTAATGACTTTCTAAACCTGCCCCATGCCTACCTGTTTTTTTGCCCCACCAAGACGCAGGTTCCACCACCTTACAACTTACCAGTTGTGTCGTGCAGTCGCATTGAGACGTGCTTCCCGTGTCTCAGCCTGAAACATGCACCGCTGCCACCCCAACGCATTCATCCAAGTTTGCTTACTGACCATCACGTAGTGCTCTTGGAAACCTCTGATGGGGGGTGGAAAAGCCAAACGAACTCTTCAGAAATGTGGAAAGCAGAAAATTTCCTTTGCAGGTGCTGCTCCTCAAGCGTCCCTGCAATTCAACCCATCCGTTCCCACACAGCAATCCTACCCAGCCTGCTGCCTGCCCAGGTGTAGCTGGGGCAGCATCAGAGGCACAGCTGAGCAATCACTGGCAGTAGCACAAGTTTGGGTCCCACCGTGTTTGCCCTTTCAGCCTCAAAAGCCATTGTTTCCCTTTCCAGAATGTTTCATAAATCCACTGTAAAGTCTAACTAGACAACTGATTATAAACACTGAGATGAACGCTATCTTGCACATCCAGAGTGTGGATAAAAGAGGGGACAGGTCAGTCGCATACCAATGAGAGCAAATTACAGCACTACCCTGACTATTTAACAGAATCTAATTAACCAAACCCAATCTGCTGGGGCTGACAGGGCAGACTGTAAAATAGTGTAACAACGTTTCAGCAAAAGGCCTTCGTTAGCAGTTTGGCAATCAAGTTGGGCATCACTCAGAGTGCTTCCGAGGCCGGCAGGCAGGGCCAGGGATCCCTACAGCCTGTTAAAAATGCAAAGGGCAGCGCTGCGGTGAGCTCACCGCACAACGAGGCCGAGCCTCGGTGCTAACCTGGCCACCGGGAGGAGCAAGACACCTCCAGATGCCTTCCCGGTACGAGCGGGAGGTTTGGATGTGCTCAGCAGCACCGCGCAGCCCCCCCGGGCCCCGCTCACACCGGCTGCAGCTCCCTGGCTGGCCGGGGCCGAGCCCCATCCCGGGGTGCTCACGGGTTTCTCCCCGGCCTGGCACAGCCCCGCTCTCACTGCCACAATTACCTGTGTGGGAAGGAAAGGCAAGGAAAAAAGCAGCTGGTCTGAGGCTCCTCTGTTCTCCTCCTCCACGTCAGGCTCACTCTGTGATGTCCAGAACCAAACACCTCTCACTGCTGGCTCCTGCATGCCTGGGGAGAGCCAAATACACAGCTGGGACAGCACACGCAGGATGAGTTCGGTGTGGCAGCCCTGTCCCACCTGAGAGGCATGACCAGACCTCCCCCAGCCCAGAGCTTGTACAAACACCCGGCACCACCACAGGCACTGTAAAGGTTTGGGCTCAGCTCCAGCTGTGAGCCCTGGCCCAGCTGATTTTCGAGCAGAGGGTCACACAGGGACGAGCTGGGGCAGGACACAGTGCCGGGGCTGACTGCAGGGGTGCCCAGGGCACTCGCTCTGCCTGTGCTTTTCCTAAATTCCTGCAGCTCCAGCTTACCTGGCTCTGACTCCACACACCAGAGGCAGGGAAACCAGGAGGATTTTCTGAAAACCTGAGACGTCCAACTTTGCGATCTGTAGGACAGAGCATTCAGATCTGGGTTAGGTGAAGCAGGTTTATCCAGGCTGTGTTCCTAGCTCCTCATCTCAGCGGCACAGACACCGCAGCTCCCCTGTCCTCACACCCACCTGGCAGGAAGGAAGCATCGGAGACCTGGGGCCTGGCTGGGCATCTCCCAGTGCCCCGAAGCATCCCCCGGACAGGAACGGCACTGGCAGAGCCCGGAGGTTTCTGCCTGCTGGCTGCTGGCAGAGGTGTGGTTACAGGCCCCAGCCTGTGCCTGACGCCCTCCTCAGAATCACAGGCGGGGAGAGCAGCAGCTGTTTTATTACATCTCATAACAGCTAACTAAAATTAATCAAACTGCTATTTAACAGTGTTAACAATGCTAAAACATGTCAGAATGACTCTCCCTGACATTCCTGACCAGAAGTGGTCTCAGCTACAGACAATAACGAGCAGACTGCCTCGGGACAAAGCTTACAGGCTTGGGAGCAGAGCTGGACCCCCATAGCATCAAAATTACGGGGCTCTGCCCAGAAACGACCCCAAATCCCACACAGGTTAGGAACAGCCTGCAGGTCAGGAGGTGCCTCGGGTCTCCCACCATAGCACTGCTGCTCCTATTCACACAGCTATTAATTTCAGGGAGCCACAGTCCTGCACCTAACCAAAGATGAATAGCAATAGCCAGGAATGGTGGATGTGAACCAGAAAGAGCCTGCTGGGCTCATCAGCACCCAGCCTCGGAGCTGGCCGAGGGACAGCGCGCTGCAGAGCTCTCACAGTGCTGCCAGCACCAGTGGCCAATCCCCCATTCACACTTCTGACAGGTAACACATTTCAATCTTCTCTAAAGGACGCCAGTGAATTAAAGGTGCTTTGCTGATGGATGGCCAAGTAATATCCATTTTCCAAGAGAAAACACTGCCCTTATAATTGGAAAATGACAGAGTGAAATATCTGCATGCAAAGCACGAGGATGAAAATGCAGAATCCTGTTTCAGATTTCAGTGCATGTTTATTTCAGTTTTATATTTATTTCAGGCAAGTGCTTATTACATGGATATTATTCATGTTGGATACCTAAATTCTGGAGCATGAAGAGCCAGTATAATACAGCTGAATAGTAAAAATACAATATGTACAAAATTAGTTGGTGTTTTTTTGTTTGTTTGTTTTTCACATAGCAGATGTATCCAAACACATAAAAATCTTTACAGTCTAAGTTTTTCAATATTTAATATCTCAATAAATTGATAACACAGTGACAAGTCCTCACTGTAAACAAAGACTGCATTTGCCCAGTGTGATTGTTTGCCAATTTGTGGCTTTCCTGTGATGTGCAGTGGGAGGCAAATATATTTCCAGGGCTTCGAATCAGAGGCAAGCATTGGATGCAATTTTGCACTCACAATCAGGATCTTCACTGAAACATCCCTAATGCAGAGAGCTCAGCAGTGACAAGGGTAACAACTCCTAGCCACAAGGCTGGTTGTGTGCTATACCAGCAGTGGGGGCAGCAGGGACGGGAGGGTTCTGCACTCCTGCCACGGGTCCTCACTAAGCAGAACGCCTCGGTGAGTGCTTAAAGCAGGCAAATTCATATTGGTGGATTCAGTTAACACTTTGTCTCTTACTCTGTGAAGAAACACTCTTTTGGGTCAGATTCTTAAGGCGTATCTGTAAGGCATTCGTTCAGGCTTCACTATCTGCAAGCACGGGGACCTGTGTGGGATGTCTTGTGATGGCACCGGTGGCTCGTGCTGGCCGGGCGCTGCTCTCTGGCTTCTCACCACACAGCACTGCAGAGAGCCCACGGTTTGGGGCCTTCCACAGCACAAACAGACACACACGGGCGGGGGTGCCAGGCAGCTGGAGGGCACGATCCCCGTGCAAACACAGGAAAGAGAGTTCGGGTGCTTCTCTGGAAGCAGGTGGCCCCACTGTGGCGGGCAGCGGCGTGCTCTGCCTCCTGCCAGAAACACTTCTTCACACTCAAATCCATTTTCTCAGCATAAAGAAAGGGGTCAAATTAAGGGGCCTCATACTGTTTTACAGCAGAACCATGCAATACCTCTGAGAGACTAAAATTGCATCCCACGGGAGGCATAAATACCAATTCCAATTACAGATCAACACCTCCACCCGGCACTGGCAGCGCAGAGCAGCTGTGCAAGTAAATAAGAACGGGTCCTTAGTATTTGCTGCACACAAACCCTTACACAGCTCCCAGGGAGGCGGACTGCTGGCCCTGCGACACTGCCTGCAAACACCCAAACACAGCATTTGCTGAAGCTGCACTTCTCTGGTGCTGCATTTATGCTAATATTTTGAAAATTCAAGTTTTGAATTATTATTTTTCAGCTCTACAAATCAGGAAGAGAAGGATGCCATGAAACTACACAATGTAATTTCCTTAACTCTAACCATTTGGTCCTAGCAACTGATGTTTGACTAAAGAAGAAAAAAAAATCTAAAAATAAATAGTGTTTTAATCAGTTCTCAGAACGATAACAAAGGATGGAAAATAGGTCAGAAACATTAGATTTTTATGTTTTTTTTGCTAATGCCAATTTTTCAGAATTAGAGTAAAATTTAAATGAACAGCTGCTCAAGAAAAATGGGATGCAAAGCCCAGGAACCTCACCCACAAGGCGATCATCAGCCGCACACCTCCGCACCACTCCCGAGAGATTTAAGGCATTGGGGTCGCAGCCCAGGTGTCACTGAGCAAGTGCCTGTAACTCGACGGGACCAAGCAAGCGTCTTGTGCAGGTACGCAGGAACTGGGTGATTTATCTGGGCCTTAAATCTGATCCCAAGACCCCGAGGAGCCAGGGAAGCCCCCGAGGAGCCAGGAAAGCTCTGTTCCTGCAGGACAGGGAGGATCTGGCAGCTCAGGCTGCCCGTACACGCACCAGGACATTTACCTCCACCCCGGAGACATTTCAATACACATCACAGAAAGCAAGGGGGGGCCAAACAAGCATCAAATGCGTCTTCACACCAGGCAAATTACGTCTTCTTCCCACAACCTCCCTCCCTCCCTCCCTCCCAAAATCACACAAGTGAGGTCTTCAAACACCCCTTGTCCCCACCCAACCAGAAACAATTTTCACACCTTTTTTTTTTTAAATGCAAAAAATCCACTCAAGATGCAAATCAGTCCAAAAGAGACACAGGCTACATACAAAAATCGGAGACACGATAGTCTTGAAGTTCTATACGTATATAAACAGGCGTGCATACAGACAACCACACCAATACTGACAAAAGCAGCAAGTCTCACCTCCATCTAAACCACTCAAAGGCATTTTATGTTGTTTTTTTTTGTTTGTTTCTTTTGTTCTTTTGTTACAGAAGGCCACTTTTAATTAAAAGAAAAGAAAAAGAGAGCAGTAGGCCAACACCAGAGCACCACAGCCTGTCGCGGCCCTGGGCCCGCCGCCTTCGCAGCGCAGCAGCGAGCCAAAAGCCAGCTGCCTGGTGGGGCTGTCCCGACCCGGGCACACGACTGAAGAAACCGAAGGCTCTGCAGGAGGCCCACCATCTCTGCCATGCTCCCCAGCAGGTGGATGAAGCAAAGCACAATTAATTCACCTCTTCCTGCTCTATTTGGGCCCAGTTCCACCTCCGCAGGAGGCAGTGGGATGGCTCCGAGCGATGCAGGACCAGCTCCTGGATGCCTGCAGCGGTTCTGACCGATCACCCCCTTCTCCTCGTCCACCTGGCACTGGCCCCACACCAGCCTGGCCAAGAGGAGCACAAACCCAGCCCTGCCCGGGGCACACGGGGGTCTGAGGGGCCGCACACCCAGCAGGACGTGTGGCTCGCTGTGACAGAATCGCCGTGCTCCTGCTGCCCTGCTGAGCGCCCCCCATCACCAGGGCTCCCCCGCAGGGATTTAATACCTGAACTTTGCTTCCTCAGGCACCCGGTGTCTGACTGGGCCCACAGACGTGCAGGAAATGGGCTCAGGGGGAGCTGCCCCACGGCCCCCACTGCGCTGACAGGGCCCTGCTGAGGCGGGAGCATGGCCGCCCCTCCTCCAGCCCCACTGCGCTCCCCTCAGCGTCGCCCCGCAGGGCACGGCGCTCCTGAGCACAAACCACAAAGCGCGCGATGCCTTCTCTGGGTCATCTTCATTAAAGCATGCCATTATTAGTACCAATTATCCTGTTTTCAATACTGTGAAATGTACAAGAAATGTTTTTGGTCAAAACTAGCTTCCACAGCCACCCAACCCACCCAGCAGTGGGGCTGGCAGGAGCAGCAAATCAAACACCAACAGAAAAATGGTCTTGTTCAACAGGAAGGCCAAAGCCAATGATCTGGTTTAGCCTCCAATAGAACCAATCTATGTTTTACAGAACGATGCAGTTTGTATGCCATCTCCAGCTCTGGAAACTTGACCGCGCACACAGCACCACACTCGTGCTCTGGGCTGAGGGGACAAGGGACGCGGCCCAGTGAGCAGCCTGGTCCCTGCAGCCCAACCCACTGTCTTGAAGTCTCTTCTCAGTCCTCCCTGAGATCAATACAGGCTTGGCCCCTGGAAGTTCAGAGCTGAGATTTCAGGATGCAGCAGGGTGGGGGCTCTGCAGGAGCCATGGGGCCCCGCGAGTCACTGCCTCCATGGCAGCACTGACAGGACCGCGGTAGTTACTGCCCTGAACAGCTCGGGCGTTTCTGCAGCCAGGACAAGCCCTCTGTCTGCTGGAATAATCCTGCATAGGGCTTTAAAACGTAGCTACTGAACTAGGAGTTTAAAGATTCCTGGTGTTTGCCTGATATAATGAAAAAATGGTTGTAATTGCTTTTTGTAAATGTCTGCCTTTTTTTTTTTTAACTCTTCCCCTTCCTTCAACTTCCCTGCCTGTTTTGCTTTGATCATTTTTAAAAATCCTGAGCAACCTGAGGGTGACCAAAAGGGACAGCCACCGCTTCACCAGCGCGAGGCCACCACTGCCACCAGCACTGGTCACGTCACCACACCGAGAATTTCAGAAACAACAGAGCAGTTTCACCAGTCTCACAACTCCTTTCACAATTCTACTGCAGGAGAGCAAAGTGCCACCTGCCATCAACCATGCACGCCAACACACACATGCATGAGGATGCCCACCCTTCTGGGTCTCAGACACAACCCAAGCAACTGCAGGCAATGGTGGAAAATCAGGTTGTTCATCTTCCTACGTTAAACTACAGGGGTTCTAGCTGGTTCTTACTGGAGAGGTCAGGAATGCCTTCCTGTATCTAAGTGTCAGCTGTATGAACTCTTTCCAGAATAATACTGAAGTAACTGTCTGGTTTTATTCCCCTTTGTCTGCATTCACTTGGCAGGTGAAAGCCAGAAATCAGACTGAACCGAAGACCTGGAGGTGCCTGACCTGCGGACTATTCTTGGCCACCCACTGCAGCTCAGCTCAGGGGCTCTCCTCAGTGCAGGCACAGCTCTCCCACCGGGACCACACCATCTGCTCCCCAGCTAGGGCAAGCTATGGAAGCAAAAGAGTATTTTTATGTGCAACTGCAGCTGTCCCACAGGTTTTGCTCACACAGGCCTGTTGGTGTGTATTTCAAATGAACGTGGCTGTGCTGACTGAAGGTTTAAGCACAGATCAAGCTTCTGAGCACATTTTTGCTAGCGGTGGCGGTAGATGAACCATGGCGAGCACACAGGCTGCAGGGTCAGGAAACAGCGCTGCAGGTGACTGGCCAGAGCCTGCCAAAGTGCTGGAAGCATTTCCACCAACTTACAGGCTGAGTCAGGCTTGAAAAGGACAGAAAAGTCTTCTCAAAACTACTACATTGAGAACTCTTTTTTTTTTTTCTTTTTTCCTGCGGTATGGTTACCAGTAACTAATATTATTCAACAACAGAAAAGATTTCTTGTAAACTTCATATTTATTGATTTTTTGGGACAAATTAGATCTTCTGAATCCCAAAGTGTACATATATATATATTTATATATAGCTTTCTCCATAGGGAAAACACATATATCAAAGGAGGAGAGACATTTCTAAAGTGCCCCTTGTTATACAGTACTGAACATGATTTCTAAGAGCATTAGCATAAATCTGAAGTTTCTGAGCAGGAATGACAGCTGTGAGGAAAGAAGGGCTGTGGTTTGTTCTTTTCCCCACAGAACAGAAAGAAGTTTGCTGACTGTAAAACACAAACAAACAAAAACAAAGAAATGTTTCTGGTAGCTGTGGAGAAGGCAAACAAGTGCAGGGATGACCCGTGACATCTGGAGCAGCTCATGGGCTGGCTGGGTGGGACAAGCCTTTCTTCAGGTGGAGTTTAACACTGAGGAAAGGTTCAGACTAGTCACAGAAAGCCAAGGGAGAGAGGAAAAGTGGCAAAAGCAGGACTTACGTGTGAGCAGGGCTAGTGACACTGATACCTTCAAACCATAAGGGAGTAAAAGATGAAGAGGTCAGTGGGATCTCGTGTCCGTAAGGTGAAGGCCATTAATCCACCAGAAAGCTCTTCTGTCTGTATTAAATGAAATGGGAACCCTTCTCTCAATCTCCTACGTATTTTACTGTGGAAACACTGACAGGGCACTGCACAATTTAGGAGTAACTGTCTGTGGCACTGCCAGTGACCCAGTACCAGCTCTCCTGGGGTAAGAAGCCAATGGAATTAGCTAAATTTTCAGTGCAGAGAGCAGGCCATCATTCAAAACTCCACGTAAAAAGCACAGGACAAACGTGTAAATATTGCTGCTGTACCTCTCTGTCAACACCTGCAAAAGGGGAACGATGTCCTGGGGAGGAAGGGGCTCACTCCTGGTGCCCAGCTGCTGTTGTGTTCGCAGCAGCCATGCACTGCTAAGCTCCGCTTCCCAAGCAGGGTTTTTTCTTCTTCAATAAGCTCAGCCATTGTTGGCCAGAAATTAGACTTTCTGCCTTGATTTTTGTTATTTTGCATGGCTCCATGATTTGGAACAGCAAAGAAGAATGACAGAAGGCTGCTTCCTCCTCCTCCTGACACAACTGCAGAAGACAAAGCCGTGCAGGTCTGCCTAGGAAGGGAGGTGACCCTGCTGCAAGTACTCCTTTTTCAAGAGTCTCTGATGAAGAGTAACTGTCCTGCTTTCAAACACCCATCTCCAGAAATACCACCTAAAGGCTCCCACTGGCACACAGAACACAACTGTCTCAGCCAAGCACCTGAATGTGCAGGGGAGACAATAAAGCTGTGGTGACTCCCTTTTCCCCATAGCATTAATGGCAGACTAAACGTGAGGGTGAACAACCTATTTAAATGTGGTTCAAGGATACGGAATCCTTAAAGATTTGTCCATTCTGCTGTAGAAACTGTGCTAGCAACATGAGGAAAAGTTTCCTGGACTTGAGGATGCAAGGAAAGAAAAAGCAAACAAACAAAACCAGTACTAACTCCTGAGCAACCCACAGCTTAATAAATACAGATTTAATGCAATTTTCAGCCATGACTGCTCAGAAGGCACAATCACACTTGATTCCTGTTTGCAGTAATTACTGCCACCTCCAGCACAGTTTCAACTATAGTATGGGCAGTCTAGAACTGGCAAGCTTTTTTTTAATTTACCCCTGCCACTGTTTACAGCAGTCCACAACCAAGCTAAAGTCCTGCTGGAGCTGACAGGCATTTTGGACAGACTACAGATCAAGTCCTCCTGTGGAAGATCTTAACTCAAAACTAGATTTAGCTGGCTAGCACAGTGAAGGTGGTCTCATGACTGCTCAACCCCGTCTTACCTCCTCCTCTGAATGGGTGTCATTTCCAAAGTGTAACTGGTTGGATGCTAGCAGGGACCATCCTCTCATCCTGCCTCAAGGAGAACGTCCCCTGGCTACAACGGGAATTTTACCTGCATTAAGGACTTCAGAGCTTTTGTTTTTAGGAAGAGAGGAAGATGGAAAATAGAACGTTAATAGTAATACTACATGCAAAATGGTGCAAGGAACAGAAAGATCATGAACAGTAGCAATACAGACAGAACAGTGCAAGGAGCAGAATATTCAGTCAGCAATAAAACACATCCAAAGCAACCTCCCAGGCAGCCTGGCAGGGACCAGCAATCAGTATCCCTCACTCTCAGCGGGAGTTTGCCATTAACTGCAACGAGATCTGACCTCACTACCAGAAAAGATGGAACAAGGTGGTTACTTAGGATGTGGGGTTTCTTTGGTGCACGTCTCACTGTAGTCTGTAAGACTCACTGTCAGGTTATGCATACTGAGTTTGTGGACTATACCGTTATCCTACACAAGACTATTTTTTTCCCCAAAAGAAAAAAAGATGTCAAAATTGCTTGCACTTTGGAAGATATCACATGCACATTTATCCCTCCTCTAATCCATTAACTTCCACACTAAAGTGTGGTCAGTTCAGGAACAAACTAACAAAGAAAAGTAACCCATGCAGCAAATTAATTAAATTTCTGTTGGTCTTCTTGTCCCAAGTTCCGTTCTATCAGGCCAGATGAACACATTGCAAGTTGCTAGCACAAAGTGTCTGCCTCTGTAAAAAATAAAAATAAACCCAAGAAACCTGGGGCTTGGGACTGGCACAAGGAATCCTGAAACTGGGAGGGCCAAGCAGAGAATTCTGAAAAACCAATTATTGCATTAGCAAAACCAAGTCAAACCAAAAAACAAACCCCACCAAAAACATCTGAACAAAACACTGTCTTCCATTAATAACAAACTTTTTTTTTTTTTTTTGACATAGCTATAAAAGTCAAGTAATTTATAAAACTGCAACAAATGAAGTCCGGTTGTGTATTCAAAGAACCATAGAACAGTTTGGGTTGGAAGGGACCTTAAAGATCATCCGGTTCCAACCCCCCTGCCATGGCCAGGGACACGTCCCACTAGATCAGGCTGCCCACAGCTCCTTCCAACCACCAAACACCTCCAGGGACGGTGCATCCACAGCTTCTCTGGGCAGCCTGCTCCAGGGCCTCGCCACCCTCACAGCAAAGAATTTGTTCTTATATCTCATCTAAATCTATCCTCTTTCAGCTTAAAGACCTTACCCCCTGTCCTATCACTACGTGCCCTTGCAAGAAGTCCCTCTCCAGCCTTCTTGTAGGCCCCCTGGAAGGGTGCTATAAGGCCCCCCCGGACCCTCCTCTTCCCCAGGCTGAGCAGCGCCACTCCCTCAGCCTGTCTTCGCAGGAGGGGGCTCCAGCCCCTTGATCATCTTCGTGTCCTTCCTCTAGACCCACTCCAGCAGGTCCATGTCCTTCTTGTGCCGGGGGCCTGAGCTGACCACAGGCTCCAGGGGGTGTCACAGAGCGGAGCAGAGGGGCACAATCCCCTCCCTGCCCCGCTGCCCACACTGCTGTTGGTGCAGCGCTGGGTATGGCTGGCTTTCTGGGCTGCAAGTGCCCACTGCCGGCTCATGCCGAGCTTCTCGTCCACCAGGACCCCCAGGTCCTTCTCCTCAGGGCTGCTCTCAATCCACCCAGCCTGTTTGTGCTCGCGACTGCCCTAACGCAGCTGCAGCACCTTGCGCTTGGCCTCACGAGGTTTGCCCAGGCCCACCTCTCAGCCTGCCGGTCCCCTGGGTGCCATCCCCTCCCTGCAGCGTGTCGGCCGCACCGCTCGGCTTGGGGCTTGCAGACTTGCTGAGGGTGCACTTGATCCCACTGTCCATGTTGCTGACAAAGATGTTAAGCAGCACCGGTCCTTGTACCCCCCGAGGAACACCACTCATCGCTCTTCTCAGCTTGGACATCAAGCTGCTCACCACAACTCCTTGAGCATGCCCGTCCATACCCAATTCCTTCATCACCAAGTGATCCTTCCATCAAAGCTAGGTCTCTCCAGTTTATAGACAAGGACATTGTGTGGGATGGTGCCAAATGCTTTGCACAAGTCCAGGTAGACGATGTCAGTTGCTCTTCCCTTATCCACCAACGCTGTAACCCCATCAAAGAAGGCCACCAGGTTTGTCAGGCACAATTAGCCCCTAGTGAAGCCACACTGGCTGTCACCAATCACCTCATTTTCAATGTGCCTTAGCATAATTTCCCGGAGGATCTGCTCCATGATCTTACTGGGCACAGAGGTGAGACTGACTGGCCTGTAGCTCCCTGGGTCTTCCTTTTTTCCCATTTTAAAAAATGGGGGCTATGTTCCCCCTCCTCCAGTCAGTGGGAACTCCATCAAACTGCCACAGCTTCTCAAATATGATGGATAGTGGCTTAGCAACTTCATCTGCCAGTTCCCCCAGGACTCATGGATGTATCTCATCAAGTCCCATGACTTGTGCACCTTCAGGTTCTTCAGCTGGTCTCGAACCTGATCTTCTCCTACGCTGAGCACTTCTTCATGCTCCCAGTCCCTGCCTTTGTCTTCTGGGACTTGGGCAGTGTGGCTAGAGCTCCTGACAGTGAAGACTGAGGCAAAAAACTCACTGAGTGCCTCAACCTTCTCCATATCCTGGGCAACCAGGTCTCCCGATTCCTTCTGGAGAGGGCCCACATTTTCCCTAGTCTTCCTGTTATCACCGATGTATCTACAGAACTTTTCTTGTTGCCCTTAATGTCCCTGGCCACATTTAATTCTATCAGGGCCTTAGCTCTCCTAATCTGACCCCTGGCTGCTCAGACAATTTCTCTCTATTTTCTCCCAGGCTACCTGTCCTTCCTTCCTACCACCCTCTGGAGGCTTCCTTTTTATGTTGGAGTTTGTCCAGGAGCTCATCAGGAGACCTTGTTCATCCACGCAGGCCTCCTGGCATTTTTGCCTTCTTCCTTTCAGTAGGTAGGAGAATTTCCTTGAAATGCCATAACAAGTCACAGTGATTTTAGATGTTTTTTTTGAAATATATTGACGGGAAATACCTTTAACGCATTTTTTGTCACTGTATATGTACCCTGGTCCACCAAACCATCTATCTTAAAGTTTCTTGTTTAGAGAGGACACTCTGTCTTCTTCCTCCAAAAATGAATTTTGTCTAATAATCCTGCAAAATAATCAACCTTACAAAAGGCCTTCTTCAAATGTTATATTTATATATATATATGTATATACATATATATACACACACATACACACATATATATAAATATAGACTTCTATGATTTTTTCCCATTCTACGCAATGTCTCAATAAAGAGATCAGCAATTTTATTCTACAAAGAAGCAACACATAAAAGGGGAAAATTAACGTCTTAAGAACATCATATCCATATTTCACCGATTACACATAAAAGGAAAAAAAATCACCATGAACAACTGTCTTTGAAGTTTTCTCGGATTAGCAAAACCCAAGTGCAGAGCGGCCCCGTCTCGCTATCACCGGCAGGCTCGCGGCCGGGCTGGCTGAGCCAGCCCCAGCCCCGCACACCCCGCCACTCCGAGTTTGCTGCACTTCCCTCCCGCGGAGTCGGACGTGGTTGGAATGTATGGAGTTTAGGAAAGGTTCCCAACAACGACTGCGCCGTCGGACGATCCTCTCTAGGCCAGCTTCAGTGTGCTCACTGGGAATGATGGCATGGTTACCATAGTCACCGGGTTTAGGACCGTCTGCCCAACCAACTGCGGGTGATGGACAACTTGGGTTCCTACAGCAGGCTTGGCCATCACCGCTTGCTGGCCAAGGCTTGTGGTTCCATTCACTTGCTGGTGAGAGATAGTGTGAGCGATGTGGCTCACCACAGGCTGGCTGACGGCCACGGGCTGAGGGTAGATGGGCAGCTGCTGGCCGAGGTGGGCCATGTGGTTGATGGTGGCTGGGTGCACAGTGATGTGGCCGATAGGCTGAGCAGCAGTGGTAAGTTGCACAGGGCTGGACGTGGAAGGTGCAATGTGAGCAATGTGCTTGGTCTGTGGACCCTGAATCACGTGGTTGACAGTCTGAATGACCGAGGCGTGGGTAGTGGCGGTGTGGGCAATAACAGTCGATTGCACGGTCGAAGCCGCCACGATGTGAGTCTGTGCTGGGACGATCGCCTGCGGCTGGACCAGTGCTTGTGTCTGGATGGGAGGCTGTGCGTGGGCTGGGGTTTGTTTCTGCTGGATAGACAGGTGCTGAGGCAAAACTGCTGGGTGATGGGAAGCAGCATTTGAAGGGACGGCTTTCAGGAGCTCTGGGTGCTGGCGCTGGGTGAGTTTTGGTAAAGAGTTCACTGGCCTGTCATCTTCCATGTCTTCATCCATGTTGTCTTCACCCTCTGGAAAAAAAAACGAAAGGAAGAAACTCCCATAAAAAAGAAAGCAGAGCACGAACTGGTGTAACCAGCCTCTCCTACATGGCAGCACAAGCAGAAGAGATGGCAGCAGGAGGAGACGCTGAGCTACAGAAGGGCAGCACAGCACAGCAGGCTCCACTGAGCCCCAGTGGGGTGGGCACACCCCTCTCTTGTCTGCGTGTGGGACAAGGACACAGAGCCAGGCTCTCAGCCCAGAGAGGGGTGCCCACAAAAGGCTGAGAGATCTCACTTGGCAGGATTGGGAAGCAACTTGAGCAGAGGCAGACAGACAACCTGGGATTAGGAGTGCTCCGTGCACGAGGAGAACAGGACTTCTCATCCTGGCAAGTTGCTCTACCAGCTGGAACTACCCCTTCTGCTCCCAGAGCAGAAAGGAAACACCGGTGAAGAAACATGGCAGCAAGTTCCTCAGCCTGGTTCTGGAAAAAGGAGTCTCCATTCAGCCCACAAATTAATGCGGCAATACTGACCCTAAGGAGATGAGGATTGTGAGCAGGGCACCTTGCACTGCATGCTCTGAGGACAGCCATGCAGTAGACTAAAAATCTCAGAGGACACGGAAGCAGCAGGAAAACCAGGGAATGTACTTCCCTTTTGCAAGCGCTGTGGTTAGGAGTAGTTCGAAGACATCATTTTCAGCTGAGGCCGGCTGATGCCATTACAAAGCACCCCTACTCTCAGCTTCCACCTGGAGATGGTTGAGAGCAAGTTCAAAGGTGACGAACCCAATACAGGACTCTGAATGAACCAGAAAGTTCATGTTTTCCCTTTCTGGAAGCTGCTGTATCGTCTGCCTGGAGCACCAAGAGCAAACGCTGTTATGATTTGAAGGAGTTGCTGCCAATAGTTAAGAATTGCTACCCCCTTCCGATCCCTGGAAAGCAAAGCACTGTCCATCCACGACTGCCTATTCTTCCTGCTGCAGATCACTGGTACAGAGAAACGCATGCACTCTCCTACCTCACAGAAACTTCTTACTGGGAGCAGCACCCTCGATTTTCATTAGTATCATTTTATCTTCATAGTGAATCCTTCTCATGCAACGTAAAGGCTCGTTAAGTTGGTCAAATGCTCTGGTGATCTCTCCTGTACCAATTCCTTCTTCTCTGCATGGCTGAACACCTTCCCACCTCCATGCACAAATACATCAAGATGCTTACACACCAGTCAGTTCTACTGAGCAGTGGTGCACAGCTGTGCAAGAAGGAAACTACATTTTGAGAGCAGGGAGCTTCATGTGAGATACTAGCAGGCTGAATGTGCAGACCTGCACTTTGTATTTACCTAACATTGCTGAGGCATGATTTTCAGTGTACTTTACACAAATAGAAGTATTTTATTAGACCAGCATCAATGATTACAAAACACTTAAAAACCTCTTACTTCATTCTGAATGCAAAGGAACTGTGCTAGTGCTAAATGAAGACTCCCAACACCACCACCACTACACAGCTGTGCCGGTGATGTACAGTGATGATAAAAGAAGAGAGAAATCGCAGATACCTGATGCTGTCGAGGTAGATGCCTGGTCATCCTCTGGCTGAACTGTCTGTCGAATAATTCTGTCGATCTCCATGATGTCCATCCACTGGCTCAACTCATTCTTCACTTCTGCCAGTCGCTGCTGGGTAGCAATCTTCTCTCTTGCCAGCCGCTCCATCTCGTGCTCATATTCTTTTTCCTTTCTCTTTAAAGTCTAAAGACAGGAAGAAATAAAAAAAATATATCTAGGGAGAAAAAAGACAAATGTAATCTATGCCAACCCGGTCATTCCCACATCCATTACTGGTTTTCTTCTGTTACCAGTTATACTGGTGTAGACCTCATCAGATGTAGTCATGCCTTTCAAATTCATGCAGAAGGGGAAAGGATGAGACCTGGCCATGAAAGCCTGGAGGGTTACTTTGGCCAACCACTTTCTGTTTTCTGAAGGAAAACTGATGAGCCTCCAAAGCTGAAATGGTTAACCACGCCAGGTGAGAGGCACTTCAGCTGCGGGGTAACAGCCTACAGCTCCTTAGGAAAATCTGTGAAGCTTTTTCTCAGAAAAAAAAATGTATTTCTCTGAAAAAAATAAAAAAAAGTATTTCTGCCACTCTACGGACAGAAAATTAAACCTTCTTCCTGCATTCTTTCTCTCTCCTGACCTCCACAGTTCTTTCTCTCTCCACTTCTGACCCGTCGGGCCGGGCGCACTCCAGGGGAAGGTGCCGGGAGGCGGCAGAGCAGATGGCCGGAGTCTGCTGGCCCCAGTCATCTTTCAGGAACTATTCTGGGATGTGTTTTGTTGTAGCTCGCCACGTAAAGACGGATTTCCCGGCTGAGCTGCTACTCAGCTTAGTAACGAACCTAGTGTAATTAACCAGAGCCTGCCTCCCTCTCCAGCACCTCCCCTTGCTCTGTGCCAGCAGCACCCCACTGCAGGCACAGTCCCAAGGGCCCTGCAGGAGCTGCACAGTGTGTGCTACCCTGCAAGTGGAGTCCGGGAGGCTCCAGCAGAGCTGTCCCCAGCCCCCCAGCCCCTGCAGCACAACACCCGTGCCCCCAGCAGGAGCTTGGCCCTTCTGCCATCTCCCACGCCTGGATCTCCTGTACCAGGGCAAGAGGATGCCCTGCAAGCTGGGCTGGGTGAGAAGGGCTGACGCAGCCCAGAAGGGATGGCAGGACAGGGAGCAGACCCCCTCCTGCCCCTGTGTTTCTTCCTATCGGTGCTGCTGGGGGCCTGGTAGTGATGGGGGGGTGATCATCTGCCCGTGCTCCTTCCTGAGCGGCGTCATCGGCAGCCCCCTGGGCAGACATGCCAACCTGGCACCTGCCTGTCGATGGGTCAGTTCTTGCGAATCACCCTGCCCGCATCAGGTGCCAGGCTTTCCAGTCACACATCAGAAACACCACAGGGTCAGCCAGACCTATTGTGACTGCGCTTGCCCAAATGTTCTCAAACAGAAAACACCTTCAGAGACATGCACTGGTCTCCTCCACCTGTTTTCTGAAACAGGAATTTCTTGCTGCAGCTATATTATCACAACAGATCCTACTCTATACAAAAAAAAAAAAAAAATGAAAAGCAAGTCACGGTGGTTACATTTATTTTTAAAATAAGCAGCGACCACACCGACACTGCTTTCACCAAACCCAAACCCTTGGGATCTTCCAGCAGAATTAGCTAAAACTCAAACAGGCAGAGGAGACCCTGAAACTCCATAAAATACATAATTAAGAATGAAACATCAACAAAAGGACTTCATACAAACGGCCAACCACCTGTCTTTCCGGGTCTGAAATTTCATTCAGCTGAGGCGTGTGCGCGGGCCAGCTGCAGGCCTGTAGCTGTGCCTGACCCACTTCTGCAGCGCCGCTCCCACTGGGAGCTGCCGGGAAGGCGACAGCGAAGGCTTTGATAAAGTGCTTATAACTGGGACGAAGACTGAGCTGCCAGCCAGGATGCGGAAGGATGCACTCCCCAGGTGTGATCCAGGCCCAAAGCCTCAGACCGTCACTGCCCAGAAGATGCTGCTCTCCTCTGCACCGCCTTGCAGTTTCTTCTGGGCCGTGGTCCCACAGCGGGAGCTCCCTGCCCACAGCCGAGGACCAGTCCGGAGTCCCCCAGCGACTCCCGGGAGCCACTGCTTTAAGGACGGCTGCACCCAAAGCAGGCTGAACCCCAAACACTGAACCACGAGGCCGCCCAGCCCTGCCGCTGCGGTCAGTAGGCCAGGAATCCCTGCCGTGTACCAGGCAGCTCAGCCAGCCCCGGGTGGCAGCAGGAGCGCTCTCAGGGACATCACATCCCACGCTGGAGGAGGGCTGCGGGAGCAGGAGCCACGGCCACAGCCCCTGGGGCACCGCCAGGCCTGCAGGCCCCGGCCCTGCCGGCAGCGAGGCCTCCACCGTGCTGCGGGGCTGGGCCCAGGGCACCAGCCTGGCACAGGGCAACGCCAGCACGGCTCCGCCAGCACGGCTCTTCCCCAGGCACCAAATTTCGGCCCAGACCCTTCTCCTGTGCCAGTAGCACTGCAGGACTGCTTCTTTCCACGTTAAGGAATGGAAGCGTTGGTTGCTCTGGCAACTCTTACTCCGCAGCATAAGGAAGGTACCGTGACAATCACACCGTTACATCTGGCTTCTGTTTTACTCCTCAGGCACTTGAAAAAAACCTACAAACACATCACGGACCCTGACAGTGCTGTGGGAGAAGCCGATCTCTCTACCCCAGGAAGAAATCACGGATTTCCTGCTTTTCATGCGGATGCGCCCGTGGCTTTTGGCTGGGAAGTTGTGCACACCAGCTGCCAGCTCTAGTGAAGAGGAGTTGGTGTTTCACTCAGAGCATTCAGAGCTCTTGCAGCTTAACTCCTGACCACATGTGAAACCGGGAGCAGGGGCCACATAAAGCGTGCAGGAACAGTGTGCTGCAGGGACGAGAATCCCTCTTGTTGGGCAGTTTCTTCCATTTCCCAGAAGGGCGGAACAATTCTGAAAGTGAAGGCTGTATTTACAAGGTCATTCAGCCACGCACGTCAGCATGCCTCGATGCAAAGTACGGGAGCAGTCCCAGGGAAAACACGCCTGTCCTTTGGCTGGGTGTGAGCCAGGCAATGCCGGGCAGCTGCACGTATCGGCTGCGGCGCTGCCTGACCCCAAACCCGCCCCGCACACGTGGAGACGGTGACGAAGAAGGGAGGGCACGGCGAGGTCTCTCATCTCTTATTGCAACAGCAGCGACCAAGTTGAAATCCATACGGGGTTTGCCTTTGCTACCCATGCGATCAGCTTTTCCTCCGATACATGCAGCTGCCAGCTTCAAAGCCGCCTTTTCCCACACGGATTATTAAAGCAAACCAGCACAACTGCAGTGGCAGCAAGCACACGGCGCGATACGAGCTGGAACGTTTTGCGCCTTTGTGCCCGTTCTCACTGCAGAGCCATTATTTGGTCCTTGTGTGCATCCCACTTGCCATTATTTGGTAAACAAACCAGAAACAAACTACTGTTGTCACTACACTGCAAAGCTCATTTGTCACTGTAAAGAATTTTCCATTTTATAGCTGGCTGTAATTAAATTGCTTATTCTTATGTCAAGATGGAAAATAATGCTCCCGACGCTCTCTGCGCTTGCCTCAAGAATAATGCTAACCCTGTAGTTGGCATCAGTGAGGCTTAAAAGGTCTTATTAAAAAGCTCCCCTTATAGGCATTATATTAGCAATTTAAAAACTCACTTTCAATTATAAGCGTTTCCAGAAGTACATTTCAGCTGCTGTGCTCTATTACACAGCGCGCACCGATTAAAAATTCCCCATCAATGAGCAATCATGAGAATGATTTGTGATTTTGAACCAGATTCCTTAACTCTTGGCTACTGTGGCTGCACACACCGGGGCAGACCCCGCAGAGCTCTCGGGCCCCAGGAGCCCCCCTGCTGCCATCCCACATGTGGCACCCCGCAGACTGCAGCAGAACCCGACCGGTCAGCGCGGGCTGTGCGGTGCCGTGCACCGTGCTGACACCTGGGCACAATGAAAACAGCGAAATCCCAGGAAAAGGCTCCCACCCTTGCAGGGACTGCCACGCCGCAGCAGGGCAGCGGGATGGCACCAGCCTGCCTCCTGGAACGTCTTGAGGAAGGTGGCACGCTGTGGGAAGCGCAGTCCCCAAACAGCCTAAGTCCCCGAGGCTGTTGGCAGAGGTGTTACACCCACCTGCGGTACTTTTGGGATGTTACATGACTCATATTAATTATGGACATCACTGCTTCGTATCTCGCTATGCCTTCTATCAGGTTCTTCAGGTGCAAGGAACAGTTTCTTTAAAACTGAAGCAACCGCGTGCCCAACTGGACCGAGCCTGCAGTGCTGAAGGAGAACCAGAGCAAGCCCAAAATCCAAGTGCCTGCCTCCTGCGTGGCAGTCAGGCCGTGGCGTCAGGCCGTGCCCGCAGCCTCCACACAGCGGCCTGGGCTGCCCCTGGTGGCACGGCCCGAGGCGCAGAGAGCAGCGCCGGGCAGGATGAGGCCCCAGGCGGAGGTGAGGCTGGCGCTTGTTCTCGGGAGCTCGCTTGGCTGGTGGGAAAGCCCCGGCTGGTTGCCACGGGAACAAAATCCCTCGTTTCCATGGCAACTGCATGGTTCGGCTGGCTCTTACAGATGCCATCTCGCAGCGGGGCCGTGCAGGCTCCCGCAGAACACAGGCACAGCGCCGCCACCAGCGGCCAAAGCAGCCGCTGCCCCGTCCCTGCCCCGCTGTCCGCAGGCCTGCACAGCCAGGAGCAGGTCCAGCCGGGCACCGACCTGCCGCCATCCCTCATGAATTTTCCTGGGAGCCTTTGCTCGGCAGAGGGCTCCGGTCTCACCTACCCAGAGGCAAGGGAACCTGAGGACATCGTGCAGAGCTCCGGGGCCCTAAGGCGCAGGCTCACCCACAGGCTCAGGCTGCAGCACGACACTGCCAAGGGAGGCAGCACCCGCTGCGTTTCCCTGTAAGCACCGACGGGCTCAGCACCTTTTATCTGACAACCACTCGGTCTCAGACACAGAACGACATCTGGCTGTGGCTATCCACCGACAGCTGCTGTTTGCCGGTGCCCACACGCGGAGCAGCCGTGTCCCTGCAGGCCCCGGGCAGCACCAGCCCGTGGGGCACGTCCCCAACACCCCGCGGGGAGGCTGCGGCGCACGGCACATCTCACCACGTCTCAC